ATTTCTAATAGATGCTGGCCTGTCATCTGATCTGCTAGCCGAATATGGCGATGCCGGGCCTGCATGATGATACCAAACCCGTACTGTACAGTATAGTATGTATGGTATCCGTTGGGTTTGCAGGGCGGCCAGTATAGTGGCCTGAGTCTTGAGGTGGCAACGGAAAAGGGTATCTGAGCGCAGCAGCAGAAGAAGGAAAACATCAACAAGACAGGATGCTATTTTGAATCGTTCAAGCAATTTCTTTCATACCACTCTAAATCAAATTAATCCTCTCGGATTCTATCAATATCGGCCCCGAGTGGAAATGAAAACCTAAAATTGCATTATCAACCAGCTTCACTTCATGATCTCCTCGGGGTAGGACCAATGATGTCAGAATCATCCCCCGGACCTTGGAACTCCCCCCAGACAGAAAGCGCCCGAGCAACGGTCCAGACCCCCCAAAACGATAGATAACTGAGCTCTGAACTGTGAAGTGTCCTGCAGGAGCTGCGTCGGTGCGACCTACCATGTCAGCCACTGGTCCCTGAGCTCCCGGTCATTCCCTGTTCCTCTCTTGCGCCTTTCCCAACCCCTCATCCCGGCCCTGCTCTTCCTTCCCCTTCGTCTCTTATCAGGCTTTTTCTTCCGTCTCTCCTCCCCTCCATATCTCGGACTCCTTAATTCCTTCGTTGTTCTTTCTTCCGCGCAATTGTTTCTTTGGAGCTGGTCTTCTTCTTCATCCACTTGAACAACTCAGCATACCTTAATCCCATCATGGTGCTCATTGATAAGCACGAGTACGTATCCCAAGAAGAGCGTCGCCTGAGAGAGGACCGTGAACACTCGCGGTACTGGAAACGATGGGGGCCGTATGTGGCAGAGAGGCAATGGGCTACTGGTATGCTTCTCTACTACCTGTCTTATCCGAGTCGCGCTGGAAAGTATCTGGACTAATGACCATCCTTGATGCCCCGCAGTTCGCGAGGATTACTCGTAAGTCTTCAATTCATCCACACTCATTCGGTGTCTGGACTAGAAAGCAAGCGACATTTACTGATTCTTCTGTTTCATCAATGATCAGGGAGAATGGAGATGCTTGGAGCTGTAAGTCCCTCAACTCACATGTGTGCCGCGCGGCCAGGGCTGATCAAGTGATGTCTAGACTTCTCTCATGATCATGCGCGGTCTAGGACCTTCCGCTGGGGCGAGGACGGAATTGCCGGTGTCTCAGATACCCACAACCTGCAGAACATTGCCTTTGCATTCTGGAACGAGAAAGAGTACGTTGGGCTACCCCGTGACGACTAATTGGATCTCAAGCTCACCCTGGTCTAGCGACTTTCTGAAGGAGCGCCTATTCGGGTTGTCGAATCCTCAAGGTAACCATGGCGAAAGCATCAAGGAAGCTCATTTCCACGTTGATAATACCCCGACGGTTTGTGCTTCAATTCTCCAAGGTGGACGGATCCCGCGGCCCTTCTGACTCCATTGCGCTCTCAGCATTCCTACATGAAATATCTCTACAAGTATCCCCAGAAGAAGTTTCCGTACAAGGAACTCGTGGAAGAGAATGGCAAACGCTCAAGGCAAGACCGCGAGTATCAGATTCTTGATACTGGAATCTTCGACGACAACCGATACTGGGATATCTTTATCGAAACAGCGAAAGAAGAAGACGATGAGGAAGAACTGCTCTTCCGTATCATCGCCTACAACCGAGGACCAGAGCCTGCCCCGTTACACATCATCCCTCATGTTTGGTTCCGTAACACCTGGTCCTGGGGCTATGAAGATCAGAAAGAGAAACCATCTGTTGAGAAGGTGCATCCCATGATAGCCAAAACATCTCATCATAAACTTGGGGAGCGATATGTGCAGTTCGCCCCCTCGCCGCCTGTTGGTGACGGTCAGGACGATGTATTCCCTCAAATGATGTTCACAGAGAACGAGACGAATAACGAACTGTTGTGGAACACCAAGAACAGTCAGCCATATGTGAAGGACGCCTTCCATCGCCTCATTGTCAATGGAGAAAAGGACACAGTCAACCCTGCGAACAAGGGTACCAAGTTCGGTGCCTGGTACGCCTTCAATGAGGGTGAAGGAATTCCTCCTGGAGAATGCGCTGTCGTTCGATTCAAATTTTCGCGGAAAAGGGGTACATTTTTGGATGAAGAGGTCCTCGATAATGTCATCGATGAACGCAGGACCGAGGCAGACGACTTCTATTACCACATCAGCCCGCTTCCCATGAGCGATGATCTACGCAACATCCAGCGACAGGCATTTTCTGGCATGTTGTGGAATAAACAATTCTATCATTTCGTGTGGGATCAGTGGTCAAATGGTGACCCCGGTCTCATCCCACCCCCACCGGGTAGGAAGCATGTTCGGAACCAGCAGTGGAAGCACTTGTACATGGAAGACATTCTCTCAATGCCTGATTCTTGGGAATATCCATTCTTCTGTGCATGGGATACGGCTTTCCATTGCATTCCGCTGGCCATGATAGACCCTGATTTTGCGAAGAAACAGCTGGACCTTCTCACCCGTGAATGGTACATGCATCCGAACGGGCAGCTCTCAGCGTACGAATGGAACTTTGGTGATGTGAACCCACCGGTCCACGCGTGGGCCACGTTCCGGACATTCAAGATCGAGCGGAAGATGTATGGCCGGCAGGATCTTGATTTCCTGGAACGAGTCTTCCAGAAGTTGTTGCTCAATTTTACATGGTGGGTCAACCGCAAGGACTCTGAGGGTAAAAATGTCTTTGAGGGTGGCTTCCTGGGCCTCGATAATATTGGGCTATTCAACAGATCGGAGCCTCTTCCTACCGGGGGTGTCCTAGAGCAGGCTGATAGTACAGGCTGGATGGCATTTTACTGCCTGTGCATGCTGAATATTGCTCTCGAACTTGCCAAGCACCGGCGGATCTACGAAGACAGTAAGCATACTATATTTTCAAGACTTTCGTCGGCTAACAAAGGACGCACAGTTGCATCTAAGTTTTTCGAGCATTTCATTTTGATCAGTGATGCCATGACATTCAAGTCCGGGGGGCAGGAGACGTCCCTTTGGAATGAGGATGATGGGTAAGCCGTGTCTACCTCTACTTATATATCTATCAATTGCTTACTCTGGGTAGATTTTACTACGACGCAATTTCCTATGGTGATCCTTGGACACAACAGCTTCCCGTCCGGTCCCTCGTTGGCCTGATACCTCTGTACGCTGTTCTCACCCTCGAACCCGAGTTGATCAACAAGTTCCCCTCCTTCAAGAAGCGATTGGAGTGGTTTGTTGAGAACCGGCAAGACGTGGCAGAGCGCAATATCGCCAGCATGAAGCACCGTGGCAAGGATGAACGGCTCCTCCTGTCTCTCGTGAGCAAGAGCCGCCTGGAGCAAATCCTCAAAAGGATGCTTGACGAGACGGAATTTCTTTCCGAGCACGGCATTCGATCCATGTCCAAGCACCATGAGGAACATCCATACTCTATGGAGGTGAATGGCCAGATGTTCCGAGTCAGCTATGTTCCTGGTGAGTCTGACAGCGCTCTCTTTGGCGGTAACAGCAACTGGCGGGGACCGGTCTGGTTATGTGTCAATTTCCTGCTCGTCGAGTCTCTGCTACGATTCTACATGTTCTACGGCGACTCCTTTAAGGTGGAGTGTCCCACGGGCTCTGGAGAGTATATGCATCTGGGACATGTGGCGGAGGAGATCCAGCACCGGCTACAACACTTGTTTGCGCGCAACGACGAAGGTCGTCGTGCCGTCTACAATGGCTCCGACCTTCTCGACTTCGATGAGCACTGGAAAGACTACATGTGGTTCCATGAGTACTTCGACGGAGACACTGGTCGGGGTCTGGGAGCATCTCACCAGTGTGGATGGACCGGGTTGATCGCTAAGATCATTCACGATACGGGGTAAGCTATGCGACACTAATCAATGTCCCTTTATAGTACTTATTCTAACCGACTCAATAGAATCAACTGCCGAGTTCCGCAGACCCCGCGTTCGCCATTCGCAGCAGCATCGCACTACTTTGATGACATCTTTTCACGGACGGCGCGACCACGCGGGAGCCGTCGCCCCAGCGTGCGCCGCTCATCCACCAGCCGGTCGATCGGAAACCGCAGTGACTTTGAGTCTGCTTTTACGGGTCGTAGCACACCTGGGCCAGAATCCGCTTTGGATGACGATGAGAAACTCGGCGAGTCAGGTCTGGGACTTGGAGATGACGAACATGTCTCGCAGTACGTGGAGAGTCAGTTGGAACGTGTCCGCAGTCGGGCATCGATGGGAGCGTATGAGGACGAGTTTGAAGCACAGGCTGATCGAGTCCCGAATGGACATTGAGCGATACACTAGAGGAGGGAGACTTGCACGGGAGATGATATAGTGCGATGATAAGGTTCCATGTTAGTAATGGTTGTGGATACATAGGTTGTAGACGATGTAGATGATTATATATTCGTTGAAACTTCACAACATCATGGGCTAAATACCAGCGTATACTCCCTACCACTATAACTGGGTGTCTCAATTTTGATGACTGCGTTTCCGAAGCACCGAAACTGAAAAATACCACTATTGTGAAACTCCTAAAGTAGTAGTTCTCAGAGAACTCCTAGTCTACTACTAAGTAGTACTGCCAGTACCTAGGAAGATCTATCTCTACCAGAATTCATTCCATTTCATCTAAAATATCTATCTAATCATAACAAATCTTTCTTCCCATATTCCTAATACATACTAACCCCCATCGCAGACGCCAACCACATCCAGTAAGTAAACTGATTAGCGCTGCGAAAATCCTTGAAATGATAGGTCATAGTGCATAAATCATATCTTTCTATCACATTCATATCCAAAGCACCATCTGTCCACCATCCACCTCATATTTCATGAACATATTTCATACATAACGTAACATTACGTATCCGTTCAACCCAATCGCTTATAGATTGGTGATCATCTCACAGAGACGAATCTATCCAAGGTCTTCTAAGGCAGACGGGACTTGCCCGCCTCCCGGCTCTTAGCGAGGGCGCCCATAAGACCGAACTGGCTGGCCAATCCGCTGATACGGTGCGTCGAGTTCAGGTTCTTGACCACCACCATTTGGTAGCAGGTTGCGGAGCCTTGGCGGGAGGCGATGACGGACCAGGCGAGGAAGAGTTCCCAGATCTATTATAGTTGAAAATTGGGGTTAGATGTGTTGCGATGAGATTAAGAAGTAGAGGGGAAGGGTATACGCACTCTGTACCATCTGGGACCGTACTTGGCCTTGATGGCCTCGATGTTGCCGACCCAGTTGCGGTACCATCTCCAGAGGGTGCCCGAGTAGTGGACGCCGACGGTGTCGATACTAATCACAGAGTTGATGTTAGTGTTTGTTTGGAGGACGGGGTTTAGGAATGGTGGCTTACCCCTTGACTTCGAAGCCAGCTCCTTCAAGACACTTCACGTAGTACCAGAGGGGAGTAGAAGCGTCGGCACCACGGAAGATGTACTTGTTCAGATACAGACCCCAGATGAAATCCTCATACTGCCAAGCCTGTCTCAAACCCGAAAGCTGCACATACATGCATCCATCATCGTCAAGCATGTCATAGCATTGGCGGAAGAATCCAGTAAGCTTGCGAATACCGACGTGCTCGCCCATTTCCAGCTGAGTGATCTTGTCGTACTTCGTGCGGGGGATGTCACGGTAATCCATGCAGACAATGCGGCTCTGTTCCTCGGAGATGCCGGCCTTACGGAGAGCATCGTTACCCCAGGCAGTCTGGTTCTCAGCAATGGTGAGACCGGTCACCTTTGCGCCGTAGTTAAGACTGGCGAACTTGGCCAGGGTACCCCAGCCGCAGCCAATGTCCAGCATGGTCTCGCCTTCCTTGAGGCCGATCTTCTCGCAAACAACGGCCATCTTGTTATCCTGCAGTTCCTCGAGGGTTTCTTCACGATCGGGGTCGGAGATGATTCCGGAGGTGTAGATCATGCGAGGGCCAAGGAACCAGGCGTAGTGGTCGTTACCCCGATCGTAGTTAGGACGGATTTGTTCCTCGTCCTGGGCCTTGGTGTGGAAGAGCACATCGACAAAGAAGGTGCCGACGATGAACTTGAACAGGTCCATAGTGAAGGCGAAGCTGGCCCAGTCGTGGCGGTATTCCAGGATCTCGAGAACATCGCCATTGAAGTCAACCAGGCCGTCCAGGTACATTTCCGAAAAGGTCTGCATGGGGATCTTGTTGCGTCCGCTCCATTTCGCACGGTCTTCGTCGCGCTTGAAGGTAATGTAGTGCTCAACGGGGCGACCGGGGAGCTTGACTTTCTCGTTGGTGCGGGGGCTGAAGGTGGAGGTGTAGGTCCAGAAGGCCACGAGGACAGGGAGAACGGTTACGAGAGTGAAGAAGATGAAGGTTTTCTTTCCACCACCGAGCAGGTAGGTCAGAAAGCCAGGGACTCCGATGATGGCGCCGCCCAACAGGAGGTTGGAGAAGCTCTCGTTTCCAGGACCATCTGCTGGCAGGGGAGGATTGTTAATGCTCTTGGCCTTTGGGAAGAAGTCAGCATGGTTTTGGACAGGTGGGCAATACGCCAGCAATGGGGATGGAGGAATTGACTGACATTGGTCAGGGCGATTCCACAGCTCTCGCCGGTTTCAAACTTGGGAGGAGCTTGAGCGGGAGTTTCGATCCATTGGATGTCGTCGGATAGCTCGACATCTTTAGATTTGGTCGTCATGGTCAATTGATACCCTGGTCACGGGTTATCTTGGTTGGGGGACTGGAGACGAGGAGAGGAAGAAAGGACATCTGAAGGGAGGACACTTGTTTCATACGTTAGGATGCCGCGTCGATCGTCCCGTGCCGTGTCCCCAGTTGCCCGCGGGCCCCGAACACAACCAAACTGAATCCCCCTTCAAAGCGCACTTTTCTTCGTAGCTGCTGCATAAATTACTCTTTGATCGGATATTTTAAATGTTACAATAAATAGTACAGTAATTTACAGATATTAGGTATTCAGCTGTCAAACTACTAGTGAGAGCCCGCACAGTATGTATGTTCTGCCAAAATGGGTGATATAAAACTCAATTCTGTCTATTCGACTCCAGAACTAGAGCTCATGCTAGCAAGAAATGTAGAGGATGAATGAGGTAGATCGATTCGGTAGGGGTACAGGGAGTTGATATAAACTAAATATGGAAGCTCAAGAGACGCCTAATGTGAACATGTGCATCCCTCTTGTGTTTTAGGTGGATTCTTTAGGTAATTTACAAAGCGTCGGTGAGGGCCTTGTTGAGCTTGGCAATCTTGGAGGAGACGCTGAGGTCGATGGTGCGGTCACCGATCTCAACAACCAGACCGCCGACGAGCTCGGGGTCGACCTGTTTTGAACATATGAGTATACATAGCGTAAATCGTGATATAAAGGATAATGTACCTTGGTGACAACCTTGAGCTTCTTGCCCTGGCTGAACTCGGATTTGGAAACGGCCTTCTCGAGACGGTTGACAGTCTTGGTGTCGAGCTCCTGTTTCCCAACAATCAGTATAAAGCCCCACAATATAAAATCCCGAAAGAAGAAAGTACCTGAGCACTGGTGATGTTCAGCTCAATCTCACCACGGTGAGCACCCATGAGGGTGGAGAACTTGTCGCAGATACCCTCGAGGAGACCGAGACGGTTGTTCTCAGCCAGAGTAGCGAGGAAGTTCTTGAGGATGTCGCCCTTGTCGGCACCGGCAACCTTCTGCAGCTCCTGGACGATCTGCTGCTTGTCGGCGACAGTGAGGGTAGGGGCGGAGATGATGGTGGTCAGCTTGCGGTCGGCCTTGAGGGTCTGACCGAGGCTGGCGAGAGCCTTGGAGGTCTGGTCGAGGCTGGCGGACTTGGCAGAGGCAGTGAACTATACAGAGAAACGCAAACGATCGGTTAGCCAGGGAGCTTTCCTGAAGTTGTCCAGTTCTGGGATCATGAGGTTGCTAGAACGTGGGAATCTCTGTTTTTGTTTTCTTAGGTCTCCCGTCCGCCTTTTCCCCCTCTTTCTTGTTTCTTCCTTTCTTCCGTGCCATTGAATCAAGGGAACCTCAAGAGCCACAACTAGCAACCAACGGGTAGGAACACGGTATCGCATACCAGAGCGGTGGCATAGGTGCCGTCAACACCGAACAGGGAGACAGGAGGCTTGACATCCTGGGCCGGGGTGGCATAGGTCCTCAGACCGTTGACGGCGGCAGTGCGAGGCACGGAGAACTGCTGGGCGGTGGCACGGAGGCCGGCACGGGCGACGCGAACGGAGAACATGGTGATCTGGAGACGGAGACCTCGAGGAGGAGAGGAGGAGAGATTAAATGCGAGACGGACGGGGCGTCGGGGAGGGGATTGAGCGAGCAGCAACGGGCTGGTGGTTCGTCGTGCTTTGGGATGGACGGGCGACGTCCAACTTCTGCCGGCTAGCGGTCACGTGAGATCCCGCACACGCCGGGTTTTCGGCTATCCACTACTGCGAGTGACTTGATCCTTGAAGATCTTATCGTGATTGCGGTGCTATACTTGGGAACAATTCTCCAGACTTCATTCCTTGATTCGTGTCTCAAAATGCAAATTACAGTCGCACACGCTATGTAACGCCAGACTGCCTCTACGAGTGAAATGCGCCCTCCCGAATGCCAACACCCGAAACGCCATCCTCTCAACCTCTTTTCTTCATGGTCGTTTAGCCATTCGACCGATCTGATCTCTAGTCACTGCGCAGCATGCTATCCACAAGATCTCCCAACGGACCCCAGAAATCCTTCCCGCTGGCCAGACGGTGCTCGTCAATGAAGAGCACGTAATGCTTGAAGCTGGTATTTAAATGAGGCTCCAGTCCGAGATGGACCACAACCGGGTAGTGGTGGCAGTAAATGTGCGCATATACGCGATACATCCGCTTAAAGATCTGGCGCACGAGGCTCGGGAACACCTTGGGGAAGGGAACACCTGTGAGGTAGCATATTATATTAGCGCCTGCTCACTGCAACCGTAGTTTACGTAGTCTGCTCTTAAGGCACTCTCTCAAGCCGTGACTTACCAAGCCTGCTGGGGAAAATCTGTTCGTTGTCGATACTGCTTTGTACCCAACTCATCAGATGTTCGATATATTCTGGGGCCGACATCTTCGTTGGTCGCTTGTAATTTTCCGAATCTTGCCAGAGATATTCGAATCTGGACGTCCATCGTCAGCACTACATTGCCTTGACCGGTATCGGGGATAGCTCCGTACTCATCAGTTGCCTTCATTTCCGGACATGATTGCGGAGAACAGAATTCTGTGATCGCGCCATAGAGCAGGTTGATCTGGTTGTAGAAGTCGACCACTGTTGCACGTTGGACCAAACTGTTAGCATGGCTTTGATGATACGGCTGCTGCAAGCCTTCAGAGTAACTTTACCATTTACTGCAAGCCACTCATTTAAATCCTCGCCTTCTGGAAGCTTCACAGCCTTCCGCAAGCTTCCACTTCCCAGGGTTGCTTCTGCGAACTGTCTCAGTTGATAGCTAGTGGTGCCCTTGGCTGCCGACCGCGGCTTGAAGGGAGCTCGGGTCCGAGCGTTGCTGGGAGGTGTCAGTCCAGCGGGATCATATTTCAGGGCGCGTACTGCCGGGGATAGATATGAGGGGGGCTCAGAGAAGGGACCAGGGAAAGTTTGAACGGTGCCATAGCAAACTGAAGGGGAGATGATGGACGGAGAGGAGGGGAGCGAAGGTTGGGGAGAAGATGAGGATGGCGGGGCAGGCTGTCCAACATCGGACAAAGCAGTAACAGAAAGGATGGGGACAGACATGGTTGTGATGAAGGATGCCATCTCCTTGCGAATTTCTTTTCTTTCCTTCTGGTTCCTCCCTTCAATCAAATACAAAGCCACGGGCGCTTCTCCGGTGTTCGTGGTCAAAAAGAGGTGTTGTGTAGAGTTCCGTTGGAAGAATGCGCCTGCATGCCGATGCCAACCAAGTCAGCGCCTGTCAGTCAAGTTTACGGGCTCAACAGTGAGAAAATCTGGCCAAAAGTGATCCTTAATGTCTTAATGTCTTACCTCTTTAGGGATACCTGAATCAGGACAATAGTAGCACGCGCCGATGATGGGGAAGCAATAGACCGGCCGGCGGAATGAGTGGAGGGACAAGAGGGTAGTAGGAGGCGAAAGTTGGAGTATCAGAGATGGAGCCGCTCTGACCAAGTGCAGACAGGCGCGACAACAATCTCAGGAAATGAAAACAAAGCACAAGGAACACACACAACTGCAAAGGAGGGGCGATGAAGGGCGATCTATATCGATCGCATTTCCGGCCTGCCTTCTCCACGATCCCACAAGCGGAACCTCCCCCCCCCAAGGACCGGATCCATGGGTGCTGCAGCGTCCAGGGTGGCAATCGCCCCGTCCGTTGCCCCGGCGACATCAGCCAGCCGCAAGGAAACCGGTCCTTTATTACATCGTCAAGGTTGTAGTGGATATTCTTCAATCTTATTACGTAGGTAGGCTGCCGCTTGATGGCATAAATTGTTGGAATTGTGAAAAATATTAGATGGTACCTAGGAGTCTTCAAGTCTGCTGTGGCCGTCGTATTCGCCGTCATAGCAAAACAAAACCCTCCGCCGGGTCGGTGAACCATTTAGAAGACGACTGACTGATGGAACAATAGATGTGGCTTGTTAATGAATGCGCCAAGCTATCCCAGACATGATTCATATAGAGTATCCTTCATTCTCCTCGGGCAATCGCTCCCGGACTGTCTCTCCGTAAACCGTGATAGGGATGGCGATTTCGAACGATTCGCAGCCCAAGTTCTCTAACGCGGACATGATGCGCCCGCGATCGTCTTCCGATACGGTTTCGAGCAGCCGCGCTCCCGAAGGGGCTGAACCATCGTGGATACTGCTAGTGACAAACTCGAACCGTAATTCCCACTCATGATTTACCCCCGTGGTTATGACGGTCGGCGTCGCCGATACCGGAACAGCCGGACTGAAAACAACGCGCGTTGCATACAGGGTGTTTTCAAAATAGGAGGCATGGATCTTTCGAGTCGCACGACGGATGCTGGCGTTTGATCGCACCGCTAGATGTCCTGCCACTCTCTCTGAGCTTTCTAATGTCGCCCGCAGGGCGTAGCAGGGAAGTGCCGCGTCTGCAAAGTTGACGGTGGCGATGATGGTTTCGCCTAGCCTGTGCGCCGGACGGTTGAGTACCACGACAGCAATTCGGCGCCCGTCTCGGGCAATCTCAAACCGGTTAGGACTGCGCGAGGAACCGAGCGCCTGGTTGCTTCGGAGAATGGCAAGATCAATAGCGTCCTTGCAAGTGAGGTGCCCGGTAGATGTGTCGCGACTTGCGCGCTTCTCGGGCGTCACTTCAGGCGGTTGCAGTGAATTCTGGCGTGCACTCTGCTCCAGGATGTCATCCACATAGGACAAGAAATCTGGGGCTGACGTCCACGTCGGCCCACTGATGCTTTTGGGCTTGGCTGCCGGCGGCGGGGTAGGGCCAACCTTCTGCACTCGCGCCTCGTCGCGAAGGAGTACATACGGGCTCATCAGGTCATGACCCATTATCTCCCCATGGCCTATTGAAGAGATTAGTGACAGTTTGATACCAAGAGAAACGACGGCAAGCTCACCATTGACGCCGCTGAACACGCGGAAGGGTATACTGATACGGTTGACCCGTTGGGGTTCATGATGGCCACTCGGCCGTTGTGTACCGATGACGAGATTGTAAGAGATCTTAATAGCTTTCCCCTTATGGCTGGCTGGAAGACCCGATGGCAGGGTAAACGTAAAGGAGTAAGACTGCTCTTCTCCCGGTGCCAGTCGTAGGTCCACGAAGAGAAGGGACTGGGTAGTAGACAGCAATGGTATGGACTTCGAAGACGAAACTCCTCGCATATCTCGTAGGCCATCCAACTCATTATTGGAGAGTAAACCACTCAGAGACTCTTCGATCGCATTCCATTTGAAGGCGCCCCAGAAACCGCCGCCTTTGCGGTTCTTATCGCTGTTCATAGCCGGTTTCCCGCTGTTCATACCCGGCGCAGACCCCGCACCACCGACAACACCTTTTCGCTTCACTTCCTCGAAATGTGACTGATGAATCAGCGAACCGTCAACAGTGAAAGATGCACTGATCTGGGCATAGCCCATGAGTAGAGTCTGGCTCTTGGGCATTACTCCCGGAGACTCAATACTCGACATGTGTCGCGCGTGACGAGGGATATTCTGGCGCGGCATCGCCATTGAGTAGTTGGTGTACTCGGATTGCAGAGTTTCTGAAGAATTGTCGCTGACAGAGTTATACTCGTTGCTGCTTCTATGACTACCAGTGAGGCTGGAGGTCGACATGATCCTGGTGAGTTGAGGCAAATGGCCCGGGGCAGCTAATGTGGCCGATTCCCTTCCATTGGGCTTTGTCTGTCCAGGACCCTCTTCGAAGGGTGTTGCGAGAGGTGATAGAGTAGGGCGAGACTGGGGATCAGTCCCCGGCGAAGGTGGAAACTTGAACTCGATGGGTGGTAATTGAGGCCGACGCGCAGGTGTACGAGGTGACTCAAATGAGGGCTGGGAAGTAGGTCCTCCTACATCATCGATGTCTATCCGTGGGTTTCCAGGAGAAGAAGTGACCGGGGACTCCGGGGGTGGAAAGCCACGGTACGTGTTGCGTCCTGCTAGCAATTGACTGTAGTCAGCCTGACGATCGATCAATCCCCGATCGCGCTATTCATTGAAGGTACCTTTTGCAAACGAATCCTCATAGAACTCATTCCTCCTCGGAAGAACCTGTAGACTCGCGGCGCGCCCATGGCCCCTAACCGGCCTCGACCGACTGAACTGCGAGGATGTTCTTGGAGTCGGTTCTCCTGTTGTTTCGCTATCGATAGAAAGAATAGATACTGAGCGTTTGTGCTTTCCACCAGCAGGTGGACCGCTGCGAGGGGTGGACGGGGGCGGAAAGCTGTGAGAACCGATCAACGGTGAGCTCACTGATGAGGACGGGCGATGCGACGGGCTCTTCTTGGATACGCTAGAGTATGAGCGGCGGTGTGGACTGAAGAAGAATTTCTGAGGTGACCTGAGCGAAAACAGTGACTCTGAATGTGAGCTGGTAGCTCGCGATGGATGTCTCTGATGCGAGGACTGCCCCCCGTTCCGGGGTTCTCCGTTCGTCTCCGCAACGTTCTTGAAGGTAATGATACATTCCACATCTTCCCCGGCGAATATCGTTTGATCCTTCCATTTCACGAAAACCTGGATGTCTGAGGGCATGGCGACGATCGCAAGGCCACCATGTGGGCGGGTGACCGCAGACAAGAATCACGAAGGTCCGGGGTAGATGGCGGGTACCAGCCGCCACCAGAACGAGGGCTGAAGTAAAGATTGGCAAATATGATACACTGAGAGAAAGGGTAATCAACGCCAGCTAGGGCATACCATTAAATCGTGTAAGCCATAATCGTTGGAGGATGTGGAGGGAGGAAGGACACAGAGCGGGTGCCATAACGTTCTTGTCGGGGTGAGGACGCGCTGGTGGTGGTTGGTGGTGCACTACGGCCGACGGGAGGGAATTGCAATCCCATGACGAACCACGTAGAGAAGCTGTGCCCCTCGACATATGATAGATATGCTGTCGGACTCCCGGTTAGGATCTTCTTCCAGTCCGGAGAAAAGCAAAGTTGATCTATATCCATTGTCTAGTTCCGGCTGGAGGATCCCTTTATCCCCGCAAATCACTCTCACTTTTGTGAAACTGTATGTTACAAATGACGGCTTCCTGGCCATACAACCTCGGATCGGAGGACTTGAGAAAGCTTTCGGAGAACAAAGAAAAGAAGCAAATTCTCCACAAATTCAATCCACAACGCCTCTTCTATGCTATTTAATACAAACAAGATATATAGCTCGTATAGTACATGTGATAATATACATGGTGACTGCCGGTACAGGCCCGTCCATCATTACTTACGCCTTTCCCCCTTTCTTCTCCTTATTGCCATAGAGCAGTTGCTTTGCGTCTGTCAATTCTCGGGTGCGCTTCGTACTTGGTCGTAGGCCGAGTTCCGATAAATGGCCCCAAATTCGATCATGTCGCTTCTCCCATCTCTTCCGTCGGTCTTCAATTTCGGGCTCAGAAGGCCTCCATTTGCTCTTCAATATCCGCCGAATTGCCTCCGGTGAGACCTTAAATTCTTCCGCAAGAACTGGTGTAGTGAACTTTTCCGGTGCGACCGCGTGAAGGTGCCGAATACCCTCCAGCGCATCGGGAGAAAGCTTCTTTGGAGGGTTCCATCCCTCTTTAAATTTCTCTTTCAGGGCTTGTTTATGAATCTGCCATTTCTCCGGTTTCTTCTGGGCCATGGGATTGGAAGGGGGTTCTTCATGGCGTGAACGTTTCTTCGATCGAGACGATTTGGTAGGCTTCTTATCGGTAAATGTATCGGAGGTAGGTGTCTCACTTATGGAGTCCACATGGCTAGTTTTGGAGTCATCCACTTCTGGCGATGCATTTGCTTCGGTCGATGCAGATGGTTTATTTTCTGGGCTTTCCAGCGGCGCGGTATTAGAAGGAGCTGAGGCGGCGGAGGAGGAGGAGTCATGTGCTGATAGATATGGCGCGGATTGGCAAAGCTGAGGATTGATAGAGGCGCTGAAGTTCCGTCGTTGCGTTTTGCATCTGCTATGAGAAAGAGGCGCTATGGAGAGGATTCTCCGAGATGCGGGACCCTGATGGACGTCCGAGGCGATTTCTGAACGGAGAGCATTTCGCAAGACATTTGGGAGGGAGAGTCTGAGGGATGAAGCGCAGAAACCTGCCATAGTAAAGACTTAACAGAACAAAGTTCCTTGAATAAAAGAGAGAGATGGAAGCTGGGGAAATTCTCCCGGACACTAAGAGACTTGCAACTGCAGAGAGACTTCTGGAAGAGGCCTAGAACAACTAGAGCCTGAGGCATAAAGATCATGTGACCAAGTATTCAAGCCCCAGGGAGGAAGCAGACCTGTCAAAGTAGAAGGAGCGGTGGAGAGAAGCAAGCCTGGAAAGACCAGTCAGTTGCCCTAATAAGTAATAACTATCACAATAAAGAGCATGAGCAGTTCCAGAGCGGAGATTAGTCGCTCTACCCTTTTGGAAGCCATATCGAGGTTGGCCCGATACGATACAACGCTCCACCCATCTATTAATATTAATTATACGCACGAGGATGGCTGTTGAGGGACTGGACAAATATTCAAGATCTAAATGACTAGATGTCTCTAATAATTCGATTCCCTTCTTTACCCGGGTAAGGGGCTAATTGGTGCAAATTGAAGGCGTACACCGTAATATCCCGTTTGATCACGATTGGCCTAAAAGTCAAGGCTACCCAAGCGGATTGTCTGCCTTAATCTCCATCTCTTTGTCCCCTTGTGCCGCACTAGTCGGCGTGCCATACAGCATGTAACAAGTACAACTTTCGTTAGTGCCAAAGGTTACGGACCGGATTGTAACCCGAATTTCATCCTCGCCTTGACTGGCAGTTGCGGTACAAATTGGCTATTTATTTAATATGTTTCAGATAATATTTTCTTCTTCTTTCCACTACCAACTGATAACAGTCCACGCATGGCAGTGGGAAGAAGGATGAATTGGCTGTGTCATGGACGATGATGACTCGCGACAAGTCAAAAGAACCCAGAAGGAATTAGCAGATCCCCACCAAGCCGGGGCCACTTGATGCCCTGTGAGGAGGTCGATCAAGCCTCTCAACTTTCATTCCCAATCTCGCCGGGAGGTTGGCCCGATCAGTGGGCAAGACATGATGGGAGGAGACACATACAACACAGTGGGAAGACGTGGTGGTGGGAGTAACCACCATCTCACCTTCTTATCCCACAGCCGTGACTGGCAGCAGCTCTCGCTTCTTCTCCCCACCGGATCAGGGATGATCGTCTAGGATCTTGGATCAGCTCGACGGGATCTCTCAAGTGTCCCCGAATTTAGCTTTCCCGAAGCTAAACACGACTAGAAGCAGCCCAGCGCCAAGGGTTCGTCCATCATTTTCCGGCTCTCCGCCCGTGGAATGTTATGGTTGTGGTGGTGCTGGTGGTGATCAAGCTGGGAGCTCTGTGTTTATCTGGCTCACCTCGCCCACATTCTGCCTTTGGCTTCGTCAAGGCCTCAATCATCCCTTCCCTACATTCTCTTCTCTCCCTCGCTCCTTTCTCTTGACCATCTGACCTAGTCATTCATTTAGAGCCATTGTATTTATTTTGATTCCTGCCCCCCCTCCTTCGCCGGTCCTTTCGTCCTTCTCCCCGATCTCCGCCGCCTTTTCATTCTGTCTTCACACCAGCCTCTTCGCCGCCATCCACGCACAAGGAGAAAAAGAAAAATCATATACAGAGAACGAAAAGAGACTTTGCTGTCGACACCGAATTCCTCGTCCCTCCCGACCGAAAAGTTCCGTCGCTCATAAGCAAGGCTCCTCGATATTCCACACTTTCTCCTTCCTCGCTTGACCTGCGGCTCTTTCCCCGAAACCAGGGCCGTTGAGAGCCATACAGTATTTTCTGTCGGAAGCAGGCATACAAAAGACATACAAGCCCCCAGCCCACCAATGCGTTCGAAATCCTGTCGACTGAAAGATCGTAATCCCTCGTGAATGAAGCCGACGCAATGACGACCAACTCGTTGAGCGCAAAGAGCAGACCCGCTTCATCGCTTCGCATCACTCCTTCGAATTCTCCAATCCTGAGACCGCCAACGCGCTCTTCCATACACAAAGCACCGTCTCATCAGACAGCCTTGTCCCTGCGGACAGTACTCGGAACAACCACAACTACCCCCCATGGATTCTCGAGTCATGAGCAAAGCAGGTCTTTCGCCCTTTGTGCAGGCTCAGTGGCGGTACTGGTTGAATTGGATGAAAAGGACTGTGTAAATCAACGCTTTTTCAGGGCACGGCCCTCGGCAGCCAGTGTGAATCCAGTTACATCTTTCTACCACCAATCCACGCCGCCTACAACGCCTGACAGTCGAGCAAAATTCTCTTCAAGCCTGAGATCGACCGCCCACAGCAATGCGTACAATGGCTCTCCATGCCATGACACGGCTGATCCCGGTAGTCCCCGTGGTTGGTCTTCCCGCGAGAGAGTTAAGGCGGTTACGTGTACCGCGATCAGCCCTAATGGGGAGTTTCTCGCAGTAGGAGAAGTAAGCCAAGTAACCCTTGTGACGCCGTCAACAATTCACTGACTTCTGCTAGACTGGTTACAGCCCCCGAATCATGATCTTCTCAACAGCGAAAGACACATCTTCGGAAATTCCACTTTCGATCCTTACGGAGCATACATTTGGTGTGCGTGGCCTGGCCTTCAGTCCAGATTCACAGTATCTAGCGACGCTCGGTGATGTGAATGATGGATTTCTTTTCGTATGGACCATCAACCCGAAGACTGGTTCGGCAAAACTTCACTCAACCAACAAGTGCACTTCCCATGTCCGTGACATGTGTTGGATGGGTCAGACATTAATCACGTACGTCCTGGCCGTGTATGCTATATTTTGAGTGGGATATCAACTAACTCGTGTTTTAGTGTAGGAGTCCGACATGTGAAAGTTTGGAGACTTCCAGATGCAAGGCCTGGCTCCCCTCGGTCTCGCCTTACTGTGGAGGTCCCAAGCAGCTCCCCGAGTCAGATTCCCAAAGCATTTTCGGGACGAAATTGTTTACTGGGTTCGCTGGCCGAAAGCACCTTCTCTAGCGTAGCAAGCTTTTCCGATCGGGAGTCAGTCGTAGGCACCGATACGGGGGCTTTATGCTTGGTGGATGATAGTGAGGGATCCCAGAAATTATCCGTCGTTCAATACCTGGATTTTGGCATAACTTCCTTGGCGGTCGACTGGCACCGCTCTTGTATTTGGGTTGGCGGAAGGGGTGGACAAATTCAATCTTTCAATTTTGAGAAGATACGCTCATCGGCCGCTCCCCTGTCTCCCACACTTTCTGGCAGGTCATCAGCAGAGCAGGCGCTCAAGGGCCCTGCAATAATCTGCATCGGTTCTCTGGGGTCTCGTGTGGTAGCGGTGGACTCGACTAATGCTATTGAGATACATTCGGGCGACGAAGTGGGCGACGAAGTCGACCAGAGAACCCCTCAGACCATGGTCTCCGCTCACAGAGATGCGGTGCTTGGGATACGTGGACTCAAAACTCCGAACCAGTATGAAGCTACTTTCTTCACATGGTCTCGCAAGGGCAGCGTGAAGTTTTGGAACTCCCGAGGGAAGTGCAAGGATTCGCGTGCAATCGTTCTGGAACATCCCCCTGGCTGTGATGAGGACATCTCCAATGAGTTGAAAGTAGTACGAGCTACGGATGAGATTGACCTGTTTGTCTCGGGTGATAAATTCGGTGTCCTAAGGTACGTTGCCGTTGTCTGTTAGGGATCAAGATCATCGATTTTGCTGACTAGAGCAACACAGGATGCTGCTAGGCTCATCATGGGAGCCCTTACACGAGGTCCGAGCCCATGGAGGAGAAATCACTGACATTGCTCTGCATACAACACCGGATACGTGCTTGATCGCCAGCTGTGGACGTGACCGCATGGTCCAGCTATTCGAGAGAAGCAATGACAAATTTGAGTTAATCCAAACTATGGATGACCACGTTGGGGCCGTAAACCAGCTCCTCTTCCTTGACAACGGAGAGAAGCTCCTTTCGTCATCTGCCGATCGTACCATTCTCATTAGAGACCGTGTTAGCCGTGAGGTCAATGGCACGCCGATTGTTGCTTACTTGATCACCAGGGTGATCACGATGAAGGCATCCCCAGTGTCCATGACTCTTTCTACAGACACGGATGTCCTTGTCGTATCTACCGCTGATCGATGTATTCAACAATATGACCTCACTACCGGTCGTCAGATCATGTCCTTCCGAGCTATAGATTCAGATGGAAATGATACAGTTGTCATGAACTCTTTGACTGTGACTTCTGATATCTCAAAGCAGAGTTTCTCAAAGCTACTCTTCGGTGTCTCGACCACAGACAAGTCGATACGTGTATACGACTTGGAACGTGGCGTGCTTCTCTCAGCTGAATTTGGGCACACAGAAGGCATGAGTGATGCTTGCCTACTTACAAATCACTCCAATGACTCCACCCAGTCAGATGACCGGATACTCATCAGCTCCGGCCTTGATGGGCTTGTTATGATCTGGGGAGTATCTGTGCTTCCCCAATCATCATCAGAGCCCTTGCCAGTCCTACATAAAGACGATGATGCTCCTGTGAAGGAATTGACACTTGCTAAACCCCCTCTACGCAAGGTTTTGTCTAAAACTGAGCTTGCCGGGCTCCAACGACAGGAAAACATTGCTGTCACCCCCACTCCTGCTCGCGGCCATTCTCCGACTTTCTTACGGAAACTTTCCAAGTTCTCGCTGTCTCCCGCAAAGCACGGGAATACACCACCGCCCACTACGCCCTCGGCGACATCGAATCGTCGCTCCCCCACCTCTAGCGCTTGCCGAGACAAGTCACACCCTACATCTCCCTCTTTGCATACTTCCAAGACGGCAAGCGCAAGGAAGGCTGGCAGTAGTCGAGGCGAATCCCGCCGTTCCTCTCTTGACATTCGTGCTCGAGCCAGACTTTCCGGGAAGAGCGATTTTGGAAGCCTCAACACGTCCACAGAACAAGTGTGTCGTACATTGAAAGCTTACAGGAAGAAGCTCAATGGATCAGTGGGAAATATTCATGCCCAGAAGGAGCTCGAGAGAGAGCTGAACCTAACTCTACGGGCTCTCAACGTTCGAAGTAACAGCAGTGAGAGCGCGGAGACTGAGACTGAAAGCAGCGGAAAGGAGAATGAAAAAGCCCTTGCATGATGCGTTCAAGAGATCCATATATACACCCTGCCAGATACTGTCATCGGTTGTACGCTCGAAAGAGACGCCGAAGGCTTCATCAGGCCTGACGCTTCATCCTGATAGGGTGAGCTAAAAATGGCGGATCCATTGATGCCTGCCTTCGTTCACGCATTTATATCTTCTCGACCTTCGTTCTTTTTTTTCTTCGACTTCCTTTCTTTTTTATATGCCCTGCCTTCTTCGTAACATCTAGGGAATCCAGTGCTATCCTTATAGACATCATTTGTTCTCATGCGAGGGGTCTGCTTGGGTATGATTTCATCTCATTTGCGCATTGCGGGTGTTGGATATTCTGCTTCCATCCTCTTGCATGATATTCGGGGCGCGGGAAGTTCAAGGAGTTTGGGGCGCATGATTTCCAATTCTTTCTCCGAGCCTTCGCTTGCAAGCTGACCCAGTCTGTCCTCACTGAACGTTCAGTGTCTCACCACGCGAGGTGCTCTCTTGCAACCGCCATTGCACCATTGCCCTCTCAAAGATTCCTTCTCTTTACTGTATCTGTTCATTTTCAAGTCTTTTTATCTGCCTTTCTTTTTCATCTACCCTGAATCCTTATTCATCGTTCGGATCTTTACCTACCTTCTAAATGATACCCAAACATTGTCGCTCTCTGCGACAGAAGACTGTACTCTTCTGACTCTTATTTATATGCCGTGTCGAACTTTTATCCAATGTCAATATTGATATGGCTCTGCAGTGCCCTTGAGATAATTTGCTGACATTCACCGCCAGCCCTGGCAAAACTCCCAGTCGCCTCATTTTAAACAATAGCACTATTAGAGATAGAAGATCCGAATAGAGAAATTATTCCCAATCTATCATCTTCTACGACTGATGTCTACTGTACAGTGAGCAGGATTACCGATAATGACAATAGTACTATCTTGGAGTAGTTGCATCTTCCGAGCAGTACGAAATGGTAGCTATTACTAGTATTGAAGGAAATTCCGCTACAGTAGCACCGTAGCTGATACCTTTAAGAGTTGTAATCGCTTTAAAGATAAGTACACAAGAGGATTATGACATGCAACAGTCTCTGCAGTATTATAGACAACATTATCTTTCTCTACTATAATCCCGAACTAATTACTGAAGAGTAGGGGTGGCCAGGTTCATAGTAGTAGCGAGCATTCTCCGGAGACATGTTATGTCTTCACTATACTGTAGAGCCCATGAGAGTTACGGATTCTATTTTAATTATGATCTGAACTTATGTAAGGCTAGCCCTTAGTTCTAACATCTTGCAGTACTAAATCCTGGAGAGCTGTATTCTTTTGTTCGTTCAACCAGGTTCTGCAAATATATATAATCTTAGTTCCTCGATAGAGCCATAACGAAACATTAGTTTTCAATCGAAATGGATAATTTATATATTTCGGGATAACCTGAATTAATTACTAGTCTCATAGTAATTTGGATCCTTTATAATTCTTATCTCCGAACTTTGATGGAAATAATCTAGAACTCCCTCCTTACAGTCCAGGCTGTGCCACCACGGCCCCCATCTCCTGCGCCAAGGCATCTGGCTGACGCTTTTTCAGCCAATCATAACAACGAGATATACATCCTCTTCTACCTCGCATTTTCGCAAGGCCCACTCCTTTTTGAGGTTTCTTTCCGTCTACGGAGTACGATGGATAGGTATAAAAACCCCACCCCCTACAAGGCCGCTTGTCCTAATGGCTTTTTCCTTCAAACTTTAACTGAAAAGACAAGAAAAATAAATCAAATCATGGTGTCTATCACAGCAGTACGGGATAATAACGGCGCTATCCCTCGTCTATATGGATCTAATCTGGTTGCAGTATTTGGTGAGTCCCCATACTCGTTCCCAGACATATACAAAGTTAATACTGAGTCTTGGTGTAGTCGGCGGAACAAGCGGGATAGGCGAATCGACAGCACGCGCATTCATCCGCAATACAACCGCCTCCCGTGCCTATTTGATTGGGCGCGACCAGGCAAGAGCAAGCCGGATTATCGAGGAATTGCGGCAAATCAAACCAGACTCGCAGGTTGAGTTTATCAAAGCGGATGTGTCTCTTCTGCGGGAGGTCGATGAGGTTTGCATGGATATCAAGAAGAAAGAGGATCGATTGAATCTGTTGTTTTTGAGCCCGGGGACTGGGTCGATGAATGGGCCAGATGGTATGATAGCCCGTAAATGATGATTTGTGATGCTTGGTGCTAATTGTTGTCTTTACTTTAGAGACTAGCGAAGGACTAGACAAGAAACTAACGCTCCACTATTATGCCCGGATGCGGTTCGTGGCAAATCTCCTCCCGCAGCTTCTCAAGGCTGGCGAGGATCAACAACAGCAACGGCCTCACCGGCTTTCGCGTGTGGTATCGGTACTTGAAGCCGGAGGTGAAGCAGCACTTCATTTAGACGATCTCTCTCTCAAAACCAACTATTCGCTCCGCAACTGCGCAAAGCATGCGATTACCATGAACTCGGTTGCTATGGAGCATCTGGCTGCTTTGTATCCACAAGTCTCATTCATTCACTCTTTTCCCGGACTCGTGCGGACACGTCTAGACCGGGACCTGGGTGGCATTGCCAAGACTGCATTAAGCGCCTTACTTTTGCTCGGACGGCCATGGGAGACTGGGTTCGAGGAGAGTGGAGAGAGACACTTGTACGCAGCGACGAAATTGCAGTTCGCGCCGCGGATGTGTGGAGACAAGATGGATGCTGCTGAAGGTTCGGATGGGAAAATTGGAAGTGGGTTCTATCGGCTTGATTCCACCGGATCAACCTATAAACCCAGTCGGATCATGCAGGTTTATCGCGAGCAAGGGATAGGAGGGCTCATCTGGGACCACACACTCGGTATTTTTGAGAAAGTCCGCGGCGGGTCGAAACTTGGTGATGAAACGAAGTAGAGCGATGCTCGCTGAATCAAGCACATCTAATCGAGCAGCAACAGTCGAATATTATGCGTATGTAGTCATAGAGCGCTCACATCGAGCTCGTCCAGTCCTCGTCTAGCTCTCCAGTAGTTACTAGAGATCAAAAGCTCCTCGCATCCTTTCATAACCCACGCCCACTTCTGAACGAACAACTCGGACACTTCCCAGCTCTGCGGAAGCCAAGGGTCACCCCACACCATAATGCCAATGTCGCCGTTAGTAGGATCCATCATGTCCTCGCAGAGCTCGCAATCATCAAACCCGTCCCCAGCAGTGATTAGATTATCGCGCATCTGCGGAAACGGGAAACAGTCAAACCAGGGATGATGAGGGACGGAGCATTGAGTAGTGGTGGGCAAAAGATTTAGCGGAACATTTGTCTCTTTATTCTTCTGTTGTAGGTTCCAGCCGGTGAACGGAGAGACAGCCTCATTATCCTCCATTGCGTGTATATTCCACCCCAGTACGCCCATGATATCAACAAACGCACGCAGAACGTTCATCTTGGACAAGGTCAACAGATGATCCAGACACGGATCCGCCGCGTAGTAACGTTCGTAGGCTGTGGCATGGAAGCTCATCATCATGGCTACAGCCTCCGACAGCGACGTTGGCCGCGGAAGCAGCAGTTTCCGCTTGTCTTGGTTTACTGAATCTGGATCTGGCCGTGGGAGAATCAATGCATAGTGTCGTTTTTCCTTACTCCTGGCCTGCTGCAGTGCGATGAGAGCTCTTTTCTGATCACGTTTTCGAGCCCCTGAAAGTGCTACGATTAGGTCTCTTCGAAACAAGAGCCGCGGTAGCCGAAATATACTCCGCAGAGCAACAAGATAGTGGAGTAGATGGACTTACTCATAGCACGTTGGTTTATTCTATTCTGCAGCTTCTTGCGAAGTGCGGCATCGGTGATGCCCGCCCAATTCTCGTTGAGACGAGAGACCCGCTCCTGCGGAGACATGAGAGGAAGCATGACTAGTACTTAGTAGTATAATGGATGACGCGAGCTGAGCGAGTGAGAATTTATGTTCTACAAATGGACTGCAGGAAAAGACGGAAATAGGCAGACAAACTCCGAGGCACCGGGGGGCAAATTTAATTACATAAGAAGCATCAATACTGGTACTGGTACCGTATTTCAGTGCCAAACAGCTTGAAACTTTCCAATATCCAACCATGCCAACCATGCACCACTTACTTACTATAAGCATGCATTAGCGGACCATTGTGTCGGCAGCATATCGCGATACATCAGGACCGACTCTGGCCTTCAATGACACGTATTTCAGGTCTCTGAAGAGGTTTGATATGACTCCAGCGTGTTGAAGTAATATGGCAACCATCTCTCTCACCTCAAAACCACATATGGAAATGGCATAAAAATGATTATTACCATCATGACATCTACCTTCTTTTGAAGATGTTATGAAATGTATGAGATCAGAAGCATAATTATCTACTAATGTATCTGATTTCCGCAGCATCATCCCCATAATCCAGATAACATCCGTCTCCCCAATATACTACCAAGAAAAGGTTCAAGACCCACCGAACCGGTGCAACTGGATGACTGCTCTTTAACCAATCATCGAACAGCAGGGTGTATACAAAAACCACTCATATCAGAGCAATGGCTATATAATAACCTCTTCAATCCTCATGTCCCAGTCCCATGCTTCATACTTCAACCTTCATTAGCATTGATTAGAACACTCCAAGATGACATTCACCCCCAAGACCCCGGCCGCCGAGATCACGGCTTCCTTCCCAGAAGCCGTGCAGGGCAAGACCATCCTCATCACCGGCGTTTCCCCAGGCAGCTTGGGACTCGCAACCGCCGAAGCCTTCGCCTCCCAGTCGCCTGCAAACCTGATCATCTCAGGACGATCCACCGAGAAAGTCCAAGCGGCCATCACCCACCTCGAATCAACCTACCCAGCCACCACCTACCACGCCTTAATCATGGACTTATCCTCCCAGAAATCCGTCCGCGCCGCAGCATCCCAACTCCTGGCCAACACCTCCATCCCCACAATCGACATCTTGATCAACAACGCAGGCGTCATGTCCATTCCCACCCGAACCCTCACTGAGGACGGACTCGAGACGACCTTTGCAACGAACCACATCGGCCACTACCTCTTTACCAACCTTATCCTACCTAAGCTGATCAAGGCCGCTTCTACCACCACCACCACCACCAAAGCCTCCGACTCTGGTCTTGCCCCTCCAACAAGAATCATAAACCTCTCCTCCTTCGGCCACCAATTCTCCCCCGTCCGCTTCACCGACCTCTCCTTCACCAAACTCCCCAACGAACTACCCGAGTCCGAGCGTCCCGACCTCCAGAAAACAGAGTACCTCACCGGCAACTCTCACGCAGACGAGGCATACTACGGCTTCTTCTCCTACGGGCAGTCCAAGACCGCCAATATCCTGCACGCGATATCCCTCAACCAGAAACTACTTGCTAAGTACAACATCGCTGCGTTTGCCGTACACCCCGGCACTGTCGACACGGGGATTGGTCGACATGCGACACCTAGCGAGATTGAGACGGCTCTGCAGAGGGTGAAGGACTTGGGCATGGATCCTACGCCGAAGTCAAGGGAGGTGGGGGCTAATACGACGGTTCTGGCGGCAGTGGATCCGCGTTTGAAGGTGGTGGATGTTGATAGTGAGGATGGACAGGTTAAGGGGGGTTATTTGGCAGATTGTAAGGTTGATGATGGGGGTGCTGTTGCGTTTGCGACTGATAGGGGAATTGCGGAGAGGCTTTGGAGTGTGAGTGAGGAGCTTGTGGGGGAGAAGTTTGATTTTTAGATGTGTGTTGGTTTTGTCTGTTGTTGGTGATTATAGTAGAATAGTAAGTGAAAATCTGACTCTTGATGTTATTCTTGGTTACAGTAGACAGCATAGACAGGTTGAGATAGAATTGCTTCTACCCTTGTAGTATAAAGAGCATTCTATACAGTAGCTCAATTGGAACATCAGAGTTAAAGATTAGGTCGAGGTAGTGGTTTTACACTATCCATATTTAGTAAACTGAAGTGGATCTGGCGATACTCAGGGAAAACTACTTAGCCTCCGATTGGTCGAAAAAGCGTCATCCAGGTGCATTAGCGCCAACTTTGAATCTTGAAATAGAAAACGAAAAATACAGCCCTAAGAAGGTAACAGTCTTACAGTTGCCGAAGATGTTGTGTGTAGAGGATATTAGATTGAAGTCTTGGGATGAGTTGGTACTAAGATGAAAAGAGCGTGTTTACATGGATTAAAGTCTCGAAAGCACATGCATATCAAACTAATACTGATGACATTGCTGTTTTACTTCGGGAAATATATATATATCTTCATACCTCAAAACCCTACTGAATACCATTCTCCCATTCCAATTCCTCCCATAGAATCTCCACGATGTCATTAAATGTGGAAAGCTTCACATCAAGTCAACATCTCCAACTTCCCCCGTAATAATCTTCCCAGTGCACCATCATCTTTTGCCATATTAGCAAGGTTGATTGCCTTTCCCGCCCATCGTCGGCAATCCGCGTCCGCAGCAGCAAGGTAGTAATCTACCGCTCTATTGAATGCTACGGTTGATAGCCATCGTATCTCATCTTCGGGATACCCCGGTAGTGACAGATTGTCATTGTTCCCGGTTTTAGCATGTCTTTCTTGAACTAGTATGAGAGACTGATCGAGAATCGACTCTGCGAGCTGGTACTCTGCTGCGTCGAGGGAGAGTTGGAACAGACAGCGAATGTAGCGGGGAAGGGTTTGGATGATGAAGGTGGAGTTGTGTAGGAAGGGGGATAGTGAGGCGTGCAGGGTGCGGAGCAGGGTCTGCCATGCGTTGCGGTGGATGGTCAGCTTTCACGCACATATATTTGTGTATTTGGAAGTAGAGGGGGTGTGAAAATTGGCTGTAATTGAAAGCTAATAAGTGCATGCATACCTTGACGGCTTGTACTTTGGCTTTTAGGTGACCTTCAGAGCGGAGGATACCGTCTAGAAATACTGAGCTGAGTCTCTCGTCCAAGAATGGGCTAGCTTCCTCGATGATTGTGCAGACACCGGACCAGTTTTTCAAGAAGATAGATGCCTCAAGATCGAGGGCAAGAATGGTGCGGTGCTGGGAAAGCCATCTTTCGTACTGAGCATTAGTGCTGTGTTCGACCGTTTGGCTCTTGAACAGCCCTCGAAAGTGAGCACCAATTCTGTGGATAGCGCTGTAGTGCTTTGTCTGAATGCTACATTAGATCCTATATAGAAGAGCTCTGGCTGAGAGCGAACCTTCTCATCGACGCTGATTTCTTTGCGGGCTTCTATCGCGATTTTGGCTATTTTGAGGGAGTCGCAGAGGAGATAGTGTTCTGATAGAACAATGTGCCCTTTAACATCATGGTTTTGACAAACATCGGCAAACTATGCTGTATTAGAGGAAATCGATTCGCTTCGGGAGTCTCATACTTGCTTTGATAGATATGTCTAGTAAATGCATGACGGGCTCCATTTTGGTCGATCTGAATATTCTGGAAGCAATGCTATAACTGGCCTTGGCAAACCATGCAAGCTCTTCAACGGATAATATGCGGTTGTCCGGTGCACCGCGACTTGCCATGACCAATCCTGGCTAGTCAGTCAACAGCTGCCAGGCTTCTGCGTGAGACTTACCTTGATTCATCAATGTCTGAATCTTGTTCAGTAATGTTTCGTTTTCCCATCCGGAGTTCTCGAGCTCGGTAGAAAGAAGTTGAAGAGCAGGCATATTTTGAGGTCAGCACTAGCAACTCATAATAGAAGATTAGCCATACTGTAACAATTTTCCGACATGACATCCCTTTGCCCCAGAGCACTTCGCGGACTTGAGAAGTTGCTCAAGATTCTCCAGCCCCTGCTGAGTCTTCCCAAGCTTGAAGGCTTCTACTACACAAGACAAGAGGTAAGGAATGGTTTCTGCGTCCCTAAGGAGCGACTCCAGATATATGTTTGCTTTTCTGTGTTAGATTAGATGTCATGATAGCGCTTGAGAATTACTTACATGCGATAGGCTCGCTGCTCTGCAGACTTTGTATGTACATTAGGTACAAGGTTGACGGACATGATCTGCATTCTTCGGGCATTTGATTGAATATATCAATAGCTTGTGAGGCATTCGGGTCATGTAAAGTACACATGAGGAACTGTCTGCTTGGTGTTAGATCTTGTTCTGGGACAGATCTATCAGGGGTGGACTAGCTACCTAAAAAGCTTAGCCTTGTTTGCAGGAGAAATCTGAAACATTGGCTCTTCTAACAAACAAAGACACCATTTGCCTGCTACTGATTTTTCGTCATTCGAGATCGCATTATTGACATGTTTCCAGATGAGCTATATCTCAATGAGCCTAACCACAGTAGCTGGAGCTGTGATAAGGGCTAACGTACGATGAGTGTTGCTTCTGTTGCCGCTTCACTCAACGGCTGTTTATAATGCCTCCTTAAGCTGGCAATTGTCTCCTGGAAGATTCCGAGGCTAGTATTTGCACATTTCTTCGAGTGCATCAATCCATGTACGAATGTTATAAACACTTTCTCGAGTGAAGCTCCGTTATTTGGGAGAAGAATGACCTGTTCGAGCAGTTGCTTGAGCATCATAATGGAGACCTCTGGGCTAATTTATTGTAAGATGGGTAAACGAATCTGATCGATACACTCACGATGTAACAGGCAGCTTCTGTACATAATACATGATGCTGCTCGCAATTTTTAGTACCGGACAGCGTACACGGGTCATACTGGCCCACTTACATTGTGAGGTATGAATCTTCGAGTTCAGGCGATTCAATGGTTCTTCGTAGCACTATCAACCCTTATGTTAGTCAAGATAGGAGGGCAACGACAGGATATAAACCAGTGACCTTGCAAAAAGACGTCTTCATCTAGTTCTTCCTTGCCCAGTAACTCGAGTTGAATGACCTGAACTGGGAACATTCCACCGTAATGCTGTTCGACATTAGCCAATATATAGTTATTGGACTTCATGGCTTACAGTTTTCAGTGCATCCAGGGCTTTAGCAAGAAAGCCATTGGGCTCTTTTTTATCAAGACGAAGACTGGCACGAACTGTCCTGCATGAGGTATTTGCCATGATCATCAATCAGGAGCAACCCACCAGAATTATGGAGTATCAGTAGCTCTTTATTCTTTATTGACAGGACCGGTGACTGGTCCATATGTCTTATGAGCTCACATGCTCTCAATGCCCTTTCTAACCACTTCACGGAATCATCATACTGCTTGCGTGAAAGCGCACAGCTACCGATCTTATAGCATATGTCCATGACACGTTTATGACCCCTGCCATTATCCGATACTGGTATCTTTGAAAACAAGTGTTCTGCAATATCGAGTCTCCCTTGTAGCCATGCCTACATAGATCTAACAGTCAGTCTGATGTAGATTGTGGACGGGTAGACCCTACCAAGTAGACACGAAGCATGTAGTACTCTATGGTATACTGTTGAAGCTTTGAGCCCTCAACGTCACTTTCGGATTTCTCAAGCTTATCTAACCGCACAGCTGCAGTCTCAATTATCCTCTGGCTTAGATCGGGACAGCCGTTATCTATGGCGAATATTTAGAGCTATGTTCATGGGGATGTTGGAGAAAAAAAAAGCATTTGATCTTACCTATGCACGTCGATGCCATGCTGAAGGCTGCCTCTAAGGCCCTGTTGCTTCCTGGGCGATGTTAACTGTCCTTTATGCATACAATAGTTAATGGGTTATACTTACCCGTGCCTCGATATGGTGCGGCATATTCCAACATTGCGTAAGCGAATGCCTTCACTACGCCGTACTCAGTGAAAGATTCTGCGTCGCTGAGAGACATGGAAGTACCATTGCACACCAGGACAACTTCTTCTTTTCTGTCTCTATAGACGGTCATGAGTTGTATGCAAGTATTCCATAGCTTTGTTCCTTCTTGGTCAAACCGGCGCCGAGTCGAGGACGAGGGACTCGCTATCAGCAAAGGAAAATCATTCAGTTGCTGATCCAGTTGAGCCACAGCTCTAACGTCTAAGCCTAGATGACGCTTCTTTTGGTCGATAGCGAGTCGATCGATTAGGTCAGCTGCGAAGTCTGTTGCTTCGTTCTTAGTAGATGAGGCAATAAGAGGTATGGAACGACAGGCAGAAAATGTGTTTCACCTAGAATGACGTCCATCTCTGCTTTTGAGCTGCGATGTGTCATTGATTTAGTCGTTGTTCTAATGGCTTAGAGAAGAGGACTCTAGTCCTGCAGATACTTGGCCGACACCAAAAGCGAAGTACGGAATGACACCTGACCAATCTAGTCCATTTCGGGTTCACGTTACAAGGCCACAATCTACCTTCCCTTGGAAATAAGTCACGCCTTGAAGATGTTATGGTACATTTTTGATGGCCGTTTAAATCAATGACAGAAGGGTATGAAGGGAACAATATCGCGAAGCTCCTCCAATAGGAGGACTAGTAAGCACCAAGAAAGAAGACAGTAACTAGGCGTCAACCCACGCGAGAATTTGCTAGGCAACAACAAAGAAATACGAGGGAAATAACTCCAGGGCTTATTTGGCCTTTCGCTGTGACGGCAGAAAATTCCCAATAATGAGTGATGGGCTAGAACAACAGCAGTCAGCACCGAGCCATTGCATCGTCTGATGATGTCACTCACATGTTATGGGTATCTCTTCGGATTGTAAACGAGAAGCAACAGGGGATTCCATCTCCAGGGGAGTTGGAATTGGGGTTTTTCAGGGTGCAGCTTGTGAGCATGGCTTTTTGCGTGTTGTCAAAAGCAATAGCTCCGAACTTCTCCCAGTAGCTCACTAGCTGGTCTTCCACGATGATCTCGTGGATTGCAAGCTTTCCCTGAATATGCAAGTCATATTAGACGTTGACCACGGAGATTTATGTCTGCAGATATCACTTACGTCTCGGAGAGTCTCAATCGGTACGCCGATCAACTCTGCCATTTCTTTATTGCCACGGAATATTTCACCCGTTCGTCTCCAGCAACAAGCCGGAATAGCCATACTAGCAAAAACTCGATCATATTCCATCAGGCTTCGTTCAAACCACATCTCCACGAGGATGAGTTCAATGTCGGTCAGGCTCTGCATTCGCTCACGGAACTTCGGCCGAAATTTATCTAATTGTCGGAGGATCTTCTGCCGCGAGGCTTGTTGCAAGTGTCGCTCCATATATTGATTGAGCCTGGCATAACCCTTCACGTAGTTGAATGGGCGAAGGAGTCCCGCGTCGTACTTCGCTTTAAGAAGCTTGTTCATCCGCTCCTCTGGCGGGTCGGACCCTGATGGATCTGCTGCGGTCATGTAATAGGTCTCTCTCGCCTTGTCATTGCTCACTGCAGGTGCAGGCCCTTGTAAAGGTTCACCTTGAGCCTGTTGATTAGGTTGGGGTTGCGCAGGTTGAGACTGCTGAAGAAGGCTTTGACTTGAGTTTCCCAGAGTCGCCATAGAATTGAGTAACGACGGATCCGAGTAAATACCCTGCAGCTCATCATTCTGGAACACACCTCCATCGTCCAAAAGGCTATTGCTCAGAAAGTCACCAAGGAGGTTGTACTCGTTGGTGACCTCTGGTGCATTGAACATGTATGAAGGGTGAAACGTGTGCATGTCCTGGAATTGGCTTTGTCCACCAAGCCATTCGTTGTACCCAATCACTTACTAAAGTCAATATGATGCACTAGACGACTTTATAGGTAGGACTCACTTTGCTGTTGAGCATTAAGACCCTGGCCAGAAGAAGCCATGTTGCCTGGCTGCTGCACAGAAGTTACAGAAGCGGTGGGTAGGCCGATGGACCCGTCGGGTAGCATTTGCTGACCTGCAGCTTCTGGGCCGTCGACGTTTCTGGGCATTTGGACACCGGAATATTCATTATTCGAAGAGCCCTCGTCATCGGCAGCCGAATGATCGTTTTCACTCCGCGACCGTTTTGAAGGTTCCCGAGGCTCATCGTGGCAAAGGTGGCCAATATTTCGTTTTATGCATCGCGTACAGGGTCGCTCCTACATTTCCCGCAAAGCAACAACCGTCAGCAACTAGATCTTCGAAGGGTAATTGCACTCCACGTTTCACAGGAATGCGCTGGAGGGTAGAGCTCAGACGGGTCGTACCGAGTCGCAAGTCATATGCTGTGCCACGCGAGCGAATGCCTTTCTGTTAGCAAATTACTCCTCTAGGCGTGGAGCCCAACAAGTATCAAGGGCGATATTTATTCGGGTTGGTTGAAGTGAGGGGCGAGGAAGGTAATCTTGTTTGAGGGGAAAGACTTTACCGATCGCCGACAGTAAACGCATGCTGCAAACGTGGCACTCTAATTAGCAACGTGGTCGAAACAACAGAGGGGAAAGCTGAGTCGCTGCCTTGATCCTTGTAGGATGCATAGCAAATAGCGCCATACCATGATTGACTTTGCGACGTTTTTTGGGACTTGGGTGAGCCCCCGCGGCAGCACCCTCAGTCTTGAGAGACGGTGTATTCTGCGAGTTGTCCTTCGCACCAGCATCTGCCCCAGTGTGTTCCTCCTCTGTCACATCCGGTTTTCTCTCCGCTGTCCCATTGCTGGTTTGTTGATCGGGGCCTGGACCCGTTGACGCCGCACTTTTCTCCGTCATTGATCGCTAGGCGCAAGGTGTTGCGCAGGGTTCGTTTCGCCGTTAACACTGTTGCTGTCGATTGGAACACAAACGGGGAACAAAATGACCGTCTACAGACATTCGACTGGGTGTGAATGGACCGAACAAGCAGAGGGCGAAGGTATCGGGCTGATCTGTAACGTGAAAATGTGAGGGCACGCGCGATGCGATCGGCTCATCGAAGTTCCCCGCTGGTGCGGGACTTGGATCTTTCATTTCCCGGGCCCCTCCGCATTGGGGTCGGCAGCGGCGAACCCGGTTAGTAGCCTCGGAAAAGCATATGAGCGGCTAACCCATGTGTGACACTATCCCTCACGGTGCGAAGCAAAGCAGCCAATATCAGTTGTTCAAGCGAAAAAGTAAATACAGATTAAACAGAATCCTCGTATTTCTGATGTTAACATATAGGACGACTATCTGTCATTGAATTTAGTTACAAGGTTTCTACCTCGGTTAACTTGCATCTAGCATATGCAGCCACATGCTCTTACACTGGGCGGTTTTGCAGAGTAGGCAGTAGAGTCATTTATTTCCTTTCCAAAATCAGGCTTGTATTAAGTATTTTCTGGGTGGCTAATGACCCGTGAATGATGCCCCATTAGCATCACTAGCCACAAGCTTCTTATATACCCACTAGACTTCTTTGCCTGTATTTAACTAGTGGGGGTCCGCCGTCAATATCTGGCTAGACTCCACTTGGAGCTAGAGGATTTCCAGAACCTGAGTCTTGACAAAGAACGAGGTAGAACGCGATGAGGCCCAGCTTGTCCTGAATAGGAGGACCAGTTCTCCGAGGGGCGGGAATTCGTTTAGCCCCATATATCACTGGTGTCCCGTGAGGGATATATACAGTCGATGCGGTAGACCTTCCAGGTAGCGTCAAACTGGCTCGCGATGCCTTGGTCGACCGTAGGATGTCATATGCCGTCCTGTGCATGACTCATATTCCAAGCTGTCTTGAAGACCGGCATGGGCTTGCATCTTCGGATACGCGCTCCACATGTCGTACAAACTGTAACAGCACAATCGTTTTGGACTTGCCATTGATGCAGATGTTTGTGGGTTCAATCTTCGGGCATAAAAGTTAGACTCAATGCTGCATGCGACCTGCCAATTGCGTCCTTCAAACCGGCAACGGGTGCGGTATTGTTTTGCATTGACTTCAGATGCCCAGTCAGTTGTTTCAGGATATTCGAGACCTCTGGGTCATTTTCAAGCTAAACACGGTATGTCAGCAACAGATATCAAGCACGGTTACAGAGGAGCTGAAAACGCACCTCGTCGAACATCGTTTGGGTTTCTTTTCCTCCCGCAAGGGTAAATTCGGACTGCTTCTGGTTATACTCGTCAGGCAAGCTGTCGACCTGCCGCAGAACAGGGTGCTCCTAAAAAAGGTCAGCGTCATCGTAATTCTCTTAACTTACTCGCGTCAAGGCCACACTTACGTTCTTCGATTGCCTCTTCCTCTCCGCTTCTGCTCGCTTCGCATTTCTCTCCATCTCCTGCAGTTGCTTTTTCTCTCTTTCGAGCATAGCTTCTTCCTTTTCGACTTCAGCCTTCAATAGATCAATACTATCAGTCACTGTGGCTAAAGTAGCCTCCAAGGAACACTGCAAACATGTGTCAGTCATATCTTCAATGAGGTTTATAGAGCGTTACTTACATGCTCCTTGAGCGCTGCCTCGTACTCAAAGACAGAGTCTTTCGTGACTGGAGGAAAAGGCATGCGCGGAAGCCGCTTTCCCAGACTATAGCATTGGAAGATTACAGGTCAGTATGATGATTTCCCTCGAGACAGAAGACCGGGAACTATACTTTTTCACGACAGCTTGAACAGCAGCCTGTGCTTCGATGCGTTTGCCCTCGTTCTGCTGTCTTACAATAACTGGACGCTCCAGGGCCCGAAACATATCGCGCACCCTGTCTTGAACCGGCTCCGGAAGTGTGGACCACTTCTGTTTGATGGTCCTTTCGGAGACCTGCCGGACCTGGGGCTTCAAGTAGGCATAAGGCTTGTTGCGCGCCTCACCCCTTTGCTCGGGTCCATTGCTGGAACGCTTCCGCTTGGGAGGCATGTTTGACCTGTAAATTATCCTATAGGTGAGGGATTAATTTGGATTATATAGCTTTGATCACTTTTGATGTAGTTACACCCACATGCCCAGACGGAACCCGGACGTAGCGTCATCATAATAAACGCGCCGTTGGCCCGTTGCTGAGGAGATCACATGATCATACTGGGTATTCCGGGCTGCGCTAAGCCTTTTGGAGCCGGTGGGGCCACCCCCGCGAGTTAAGTAGTAGTTCTGCCCCTGACGGTGGGTTATCGCTGCTATCTACGGAGTATCTATCTCTCTATCTGTCTATCTACTACGGAGAACTACGGTGTATGTTGCGCCATTTGTTGAAGATCCTCTACAATTACCATGTACATGTATCACTGTTTTACGCGATTCATACTACATCCTAGTGGCTAGATATACGATCGTGAAGACTAATGATCCTTGCTTGAATCAATGATTGGGAAGCAACGAAGGCAGAGCACCAATGGAGAACGAGAAGATCTCGCGGGAGAGCTTATACTCCCGGCAGAATGCATGCATCAAACTAGATACTATGTGGTATTTAGGAAATTAAACCATTATCGCCAATCCAAGTGGGTATTATGGGGTGACATGTAATAGGCCGGGAATTTTAATGTGACTGCAACCAGGTGCGTTGGCACATCAAACCCTGGTCGATGTAGAAATCAAGACGGGCGGCCGTAAAAACAAACGCCTGCATAACCGTTTGAACAATGCGCATCCTTCCAGAAGATCGCTGAACTGCTCCAATGTACAAATGGGTGAAGATCAGCCCATGCTTTCGATAGAATAAAAGAGGTGATCATGGTCGCATAATTGAGGTGACTACCGAGGCATCACCAAACCATTCATGGCCTTTAACTCCGCTAGCTGTGCTTTGAGGATGTCATTGCCGCGCAATACTTCTTCCAACCAGTCAGCCGCCTGCGTGAGCATTGCGCTTTTGCTAAAACCACCGCCTTTTAGGCCAGGGACAAGGGTGCACAGATCATCGAACCCTTGTCTGATCAAGTTTCTTCGCTTTTGCTCCGAAAGAATATGATTGCTTCTCTTTTGTTCTTCGGTCAGGTTCTCTCGTGCGGGCTTTGGACCTTGGGAAAGCCTTGGTTTCCGAACGGCGTCATGTGACATTCGCCTTGATGACGAAGCCTTGGACTTTTTCGATTGTGGCCGCGAGCTTTCCTCGTCTGAGTTTTCGTCTTCTTCCTCCTTGACCAAAACTCTTTGCTTCTTCTTGGGTTGGGAAAGATCTTCCATGCTGTCCTTGAACTCTCTGCGCAAGTTGCTGAGTTGCCCAGCCGCATCTGTATCAGTCCATGTTGCATCATAGTTTCCAGTGATGCGCACTGGGCTCGGCGCTCGAGTATTTGCAGCACTGCTTTGGGCTTCGAAGCATGCCAAGTGACCAAGCAGCTCTTTCGTGCGCTGCTCTTCATCTGGCTGATCCGGCGGTGCAATGTATCCTTGATCCACAAAACTTTCATCCGAGCCCCAATGCAGTGGACGAACCTTGGCGGTCTGCTGTTGCTCCGGGGATATCGGTTCACGGACATCGAAGAGCATCTCTGAGGTGTGGTACCCATGGGGTAACCGAGGACGGGATGAGCTGTTGGGTTGTTTCAAGGGCACATGGCTGGGTTGCGGTTGGAATTTGCCATGAGTGGACATTCTGAGGCTGTTGAAATCTATGTCAGGGGATGGGTATGAATGAGATCCTAAGTTGGTATTGAATTCGGGCCCGTGTATCCCATTATGGTATAGCATGGAAGCAGCCGCGAATATATCTGAGTTGGCACTCAGGTTCCCCGGCATTACGTCCATGAGCGGTTTGTCTATGCTGCGATGAGAGAGGGAGGGTTGTGATGAAAGAGAGGTCGTGGACCCTTCGAAAGTCGGGGGGAGGAGTTCGTCTGAGAAGTCGAAATTGGCGGTGCCAAATGGCTTATTTGGTTGACTCTGCAGCCAAAAGTCACTGGAGAGCTGATTGGAGTTCATCGTAGTAAAGAAGTTATCCAGCATCAATGATTCATCTTGATCCAAGAGCGCCGGCCCGGGAGGTGGCGCAGGAGCAGGTTCGAATGGGGTATCTGTAGGGGAGAGAAAAGAATCTAGAGCCCCTCCACATTAGACAGGACGTGGAAGCAGCGAAGAAATACACTTACAGCCAAAGGGGCCAGGCTGCGGACTATTCTGGCCATTATGTGTCCCCGACCTGTTTGGATCCATGGCGATGATGGTGGAGGGGGGCGAGAGAAGGCAAGTATGTGATATCGCAAAGAGACTCGACCAGCATGTGCTAGTCTTGAATGAGAGCGGCGCCGAAAGACAGTGCCAACATGCCTTGACCGGCAAAGCGGATGCAGGGAAAGAGAATAAACCCTTTCAAGAATGCGATGACAATATGGTTTCAGAGAGCTCCAGTGATACCAATCACCAGAAGATTGGAAGCTAGCTAGCTATAGGGGACGGTGGTCGCGGAGGGAAGTATCAACGGTCGATGGTGCCGGGGAAGTACGGGCGAATGTCTGGAGGTCTAGGATACGAAATACCGTCAACAAGACCAAATTCACTTGACGGAAAAGGCATCCCCCACATTGAAACTGACAGTTAGACGGGAGGGTTGACGGCAGAATCCGGGGATCATGGACAGTGGAGAGAGTAACCGTAGATAGTCAGATCGATCATAGCATTTCAGACAGTCAGTCACCACACGAGTTGCTTCTCGTCGCTGGGAATCCGTCGGCCTTTTCAAGGCAATCACATGCAAAATTCTGGCGCTCCGGCGGAGGTCGCGTGACGTAAACTAATTACCATTGATACCCCCAGTTGCCAGCCACACACCAGGATCAGATCGTGTAATTCTGGTTTTCAGACGGTATGAATCGGACCAATTTCCCAGTCCGGGGAGACTCGACCTTATCCGGCCCGATCGATTCCCATTTCTGGTGCCCATCCAATCTATCCATCCACCTATCCACATCTCCATTCATCCACCATGTACACTCACTCTCTGTCTGTCTGCTTTTTATGTTCTTCCCCGCTGACAGGAATTCTTTTCCTTGATCATCCCTCATCAAGGTGAGCCGTAAAACTGCTCCGGCTCCTCCGATCTGGACGATTCGCTACCATTGTGTCTACTGGAGTTCATACTTTCTTGGCTCCATTACACCAGCTGGTTTCCCCAGGTGACGGCTAGCGGTTGGTTGAATAAACCCCAAGTTTCGAGCGTGGCATAACGGGGGATCGTCGCCTTCCGCCTGGTCTGTAACCCCTGAACCACACCTGGGTTAACGGCCATTCCCCTCGTGTCTTGAACGACCGAGGTCGAATTTCTAATAGTCTGTCGCACGGATCCACGGCCGATCCTACATACAAAAAGGGCTGCCCATCACGGAGCACGTACCACTCTGGGTAACTGCCGCGGAGCCAAGTGTTTGTGTTAGTTTCCTATTCTGTCAAGATCTTTGGGCCGGCTAGAAATGCTTGGATTTTAGTGCAGTATGTCCTGCCACAATCCCTTTGATTTTCTGCAAAATTCATTCGTCTCTTTTTGTGGCCATGGTCTCGATTCTGTTAATCGGTGGTATACTCCCAAGATACAGTCTGACACCAGCAAATAGGTTGTTTCATTGTTTCACAACTCAAATCCAGACTTCAATGGCACGGTCATGGACTAAATGAGTTGGATGCACCATGGACTCGGCCACCATAATTCGCCAGCATCAGAGCAATATCCGTGTTCTACGGCCGTAAGTATTCATTATTCCCATTTTCGGCCACTTCCGGGTGACGTCAAGCACATCAACTACGGATCAATAGGCTGCGTCGATACTGACCGTAACAGAATTCTACGCGCATACGCACTTGGTTATTTATCTTCAACTACTCCTAGAGTAATATCCTGTCTACGGCGAATTCGGGGGCATGGCTTAAGCTTCGGAGAGCAGCTCAAGGAGGTATGTTAATGTTACCCTGATAGCATGAAGCCCGCTGCACCTATGCATCGTTCGTGATACGTATACACACATGGAAATTTTCGCTGCCCTACCCGTCTACCATCAGGATAAAGCCGGTGTACTCACTCTAGCTATGCAGTTGTCCACCACATTGACAAGTACTCTACGGCTGGATGCTTTCCCGGCATTCTGTGCTGTACTCGTAGGGGGCTCAACCGTCATTCCTTTGATTCTCTTACGATGTCTTGCGCATCTCGTTCGTAAGCTGGGTTTAAAACCCGGTCGTTCCAATGCATTGATTCACATGCGACTGGCTAGATTTGTTTCTGCGTTACTGTCCGCTTGGTTCAGTTTTCATATTCTGAATCAGAGGCCTATCAGGTTGCAGAGAGCTTGCGACGAATGTCAAGGTGGTACTGATTCAAAAAATGCTGCAGACCAGAGAAAGCTCGGACCGGAGCCGCATGGCCATCCCCAGTTCGCAGGTAGAACCATGGACCTCACTCTTTTCAGCCTTACAAGAGCGGTCGATTTGATGGTCTACATGGGTTGGGCAAATTGGCGGCGATGGCGAAAGTCAAAAAATCAGTGGAGTCTAATGGAGCGTGTTGCTCCTCAACTCGCAGATGCGGGTGTGTTCGCCACGAGCGCAGCGATAGTTATGTGGGCATGGTTTTATATGCCTGAGAGGCTACCAAGGTCTTACGGTAAATGGATAGGAGAAGTAGCAAAGGTGGATGGCCGCCTGATCGAAGCACTTCGCCGTGCTAGGCAGGGTGTCTTTGTGTACGGAAAAGACACCGGGCAAGCATCACTACTTCAGTCCATGTGCAAAGATTATAATTGGCCCGTGGAATGGGGAGACCCTTCCAAGACCATCCCGATACCGTGTGAGATGGTCCACATGGGTAGTGGTCATAGCTGTGAAAAGCATGCTCTGTCTCGATTCACTCGAACATTCAGTTTCGCCTGTGCTACCTACATACCTTTACAGATCATCTTTCGTTTGCGGTCAGTAAAGTCCATGGCATCCCTCAAACAGCCCATAGCTGCTGCCTTGCGCTCATCTGCCTTCCTTGCTTCATTTGTGAGCTTGTTCTACTACTCTGTCTGTCTTGCAAGAACAAGGATCGGCCCCAAAGTATTTCACCGCGGAACAGTAACTCCAATGATGTGGGATTCTGGGCTCTGTGTCGGCGCCGGATGCCTGATGTGCGGTTGGAGCATACTCGTGGAGAACGCACGGAAGCGACAGGAGATTTCACTATTTGTGGCTCCCAGGGCTGCTGCAACTGTTCTGCCAAGATATTACGAGAAACAGGTGAGTTCAAATACTTCCATATCACCCAGTGGTTGCAGAGCTTGGAAGTTGTCACACTCGTCTTGCCGCTCTCTGCGCCATCCCATTCTAGCTTCGTCGAACATTGTACCACTTTCTAACCGTTGTGGCTTATCTAGTATCAACACCGGGAACGTATAGCATTTTCTATCAGCGCCGCCATTCTTCTGACTTGTCTCCAAGAGAGGCCTGATATGGTTCGGGGTGTATTCGGTCGGATCGGTAGAAGCGTGCTGGCGTGATTGCGCTGAGCGAATGGCGATTGCGACCGGACCTTTACATGTATAGACTTATTGTTGTTTCTTTCGTCACTCTCATTGTAATTATACAGAGTATCATTAGCGGTTCTGATATGTATTATTATGCCATCATTATTCGTCGAGGATTGAATGAACAAAAGCAAGCAATCTAGCCAAGTCTGTAGGTTTTTCTCTCTCAGATAAAGCCATAGGCAAAGAATCGTCATCTTGGTCAAGCGCAAATCTCCCGACCAGATAAGATTATCTGATCTCATATTTTTCTCCTGGCCCATCATAGATGCCCGTTATTGGGAAACCGGCACCCCAAATTTGGGAAAGCCCAAGAATAGAAACCTGACGATCTCCTTAGATCTTCAAAGTGTCTAGAAGCTCACCTGAAACAGAAGACAAGTGTTTTAGAGCTAATTTTGACCCTGGGGAAGATCAATCATTCTTGACTTTACATTGGCAAGATAAAGGGGTTTTTGATAGGACCAATATTCGGAGTATCGCTTCATCGGATATTCCTGCTGCCAGGATGATTCTCAACAAGCTCTCTCTGGGTTTGAGACATCATTACATATTACTGGTAGTACTGCGTACCTTAGTATATCTAAAAGTGCTCTAATTGGAACAAAAGGCATGTAGTCACATCATGATAGAACTTCGTTATAAACTTGTGGCATGCTACTATAGTAAGTACCAACTACTAGTACTTACTTGCCCTAGAGGTATATATTACCGAGGCCACACTAGTAGTATCACAGTGGTTCACATCTGCTTGCTAGTAGTCGTTCTCATACAGCCAAGCATCAATGTTATATACAAATAATCGCAATGAGAACCAAGGTGCTTAACTTGTCCAAATCTCCTACATAGACTAAGTTCAAAGCCCCTAGCAAGGTGGAAGAGATGCTGAATCTGGTAGTTTGGGATAGAATGTCCTAAAACAGACAAGTCCCGGCTACCATCGGACGCGCGGAACAAGGAAGGCGGCATTATAGGCGGTATAATACAACCGACAGAAAAGCATTGCCTGATCATATCACGTGCTTCAGGTACCTTATCCCAATCGGAGTTCTAGATGGCATCTCTCCATATCTCCCCGCAGCACATATAATCATTGACGATGTTCTCGCGCCCGATCTCCTCATGGGGTCGGCTTCCTTGGTCGGGCCCCGGCCTCCGCCCGGCCACCATCACAAATACACGATGTGTTGACTCTGGGAGGAGATTCTTCACTCACAATTCATGTCTCCGGCAGAATATCAACGCACCTTTCAATACGCCACAGTCGAAAAAGCGCAATGCGTCGACAATGTATGTTGAAGGATCGCAATGGCATTGGCAGTTTCTTGTCTAATAGGCTATAGGTACTATACAGCCAGTCTTATTCTCGGAACCGTTGCGCTTGCCTATGGCTCCGTCCCTCTGTACAAAATGGTTCGACAACCCTGCCCTTGAATTCTAGTCTGCGGCAGAGGCTAACGGCTTCACTCATACAGATCTGCCAACAAACCGGCTGGAACGGTCAACCCGTAGCTACACACCGTGTAGGTGACGGCGATACCTCTTCCCGCGTCACTCCGGTCACCGACTCTCGTCGTTTGAGAATCACGTTTAATGGATCAGTTTCGGATGTTTTACCATGGAAGTTTACACCGCAACAACGTGAAGTTCGAGTTCTTCCGGGCGAGACAGCACTTGCATTCTTCACAGCGACAAACAAGGGCCCAACGGATATCATTGGTGTAGCGACGTATAGTGTCACTCCCGGACAGGTTGCTCCCTATTTCAGCAAGATTCAATGCTTTTGCTTCGACGAGCAGAAGCTGAATGCTGGAGAGTCGGTTGACATGCCGGTGTTCTTCTTCATCGACCCTGACTTTGCCAATGATCCGGCAATGAAGGGCATTGACACAATTACGCTCTCATATACCTTCTTCAGTAAGTTTCCAGATCAAACCAATGATGAGGTATTATGTGGCTAATCAATGTGAAACAGAGGCGCGATATGATGACAATGGTGTCTTGAAGCCATTGCCGTCGAGCTAATGGCGTGACTGATTGTTATGTACTACATATCAGGAGCCAAGCGATTGGGCTCTCTACGACAACAGACTCACAGTAAAATGCTTTTGGAACGTATATACCCGAATCACCCTGGCCTTGTGACATCCAACGGAATGTCCCAGAGACCTGGCTCGCTCCGATGTGACTCTCCGAGCAAATTCGGAAGACCCATCTCTCCTCTTGCAAGGGCCAATTATGAAAACCTGAACCTAATGGTCCCAAGCACCCCACTGACCATCTTTGTATCATAGATAGAGCATGTACATACAGAGAACTACTGAAGCTTTTCGTATGGAATGGGCGGGGTGACATATCATGTATAGTATTTAGGCGTTCAAACGTGAAATATAAAGGAATCATTGTTATACATCCATCACCTCAATGTAGACAATGGTTTATAGTGTTCCTCTGGCTACTACGTACTTGACCGTCTCGATTGTACTAGATCTACAATGATTTTGCACGGCCGAACGTGATTGGTGAATACGCTGCATAGTCAGCATAGCGCACGGACCGCCAATTAAGCTCGCGTGTCACGCCCGACGCGTCTGCGCTCGGCCTAAGCTATCTATCGGCTCTGAAGGGAAAGCATACTGCTGAGTGAAGACCTAGAAGCCTTTAACTATTGAACTGCACACTCAATTGCAAAAATGGCCTTGCTAGTCGACAAACTGCGGCCGCGGTCGCTAGATGCCCTCACATATCATCCCGAGCTGTCCGCGCGACTGAAATCATTGGTAAGGCAAATCAAGCTCATACTATCCACCTCGAGTGCAATCCTCACATTGATGTTTGTTTCTAGGCGCAAAGCGGCGACTTCCCCCATCTGCTCATGTACGGACCCTCAGGCGCAGGTAAAAAGACACGAACCATCGCGACGCTCAAAGAATTGTACGGTTCCGGAGTCGAAAAGATCAAGATCGACGCTAGAGTCTTTCAAACGACAAGCAACCGCAAGCTCGAGTTCAATATAGTGTCTTCGGTCTATCACTTGGAGATCACCCCATCGGATGTTGGAAACTATGATCGTGTCGTTGTGCAGGAGCTGTTGAAGGAGATTGCCCAGACCCAGCAGGTCGATCTCGCGGCGAAGCAGCGCTTCAAGGTCGTTGTGATCAACGAGGCCGATCATCTTACTCGTGATGCGCAGGCGGCGCTGAGACGGACGATGGAGAAGTACAGTCCCAACTTGAGGTTGATTTTGTTGGCCAATAGCACCTCGAATATTATCGCTCCTATCCGGTCCCGTACCCTGCTGGTCAGGGTTGCTGCTCCGAATGAAGAGGAAATCTGCACTGTACTGAGGAACGCGGCTAAGAAGGAAGGATGGCCTGAGGCAAGCGGGTTGAATAAGAGGATAGCTAAGGAGAGTGGGCGTAATCTTCGTCGCGCACTCCTTATGTTTGAGGCTATCTATGCTCAGAAGTACGTAACAAATTAGTTGTCTATTGGGGTGCCAGGGCTAACTTGATTCGCTTCTGTTTCTAGTGAGAAAGTGACGGATACCACGCTCATCCCACCACCCGACTGGGAAGCTTTGATTGCGTTGACAGCCGAGGAGATACTGGCTGAGCGATCGCCAGCTCGTCTGTTGCAAGTCCGCGCACGCTTATACGACCTTTTGACGCATTGCATACCACCGACTACTATTATCAAGGTTCGATCAGGACGTTTTAGGTGACTGGATTAGAGATTCTAACTGGGATCTAGTCTTTGACATTCAACCTGATCACAAAGGTCGACGATGCTCTAAAGCCTGATGTCATCAGGTGGTCGGCGTTCTATGAGCACAGGATCACTCAAGGCAGCGTAAGGGCTCTCACTTGCTGCATGAATGTCGAAGATAAACGGCTAATATCCTTCGCAGAAAGTAATCTTCCACCTCGAAGCTTTCGTTGCCAAGTTCATGCGCATATACGAAAGGTTCGACCACCCCCAAATACCCCGAATCAGCTCAATTTATTCGCTAACCCGTGCACAGTTATCTTATGGGCATGGAATTTTAAAATCACGAAGATAATAATACCCAACGATTCTTAATGACTTCATTGTACACTACCGGGGGTCGTATCTCATCTGGATCACTATGGGACTCGTAGCTGAAACCCACCCCAGTATTTCTAGCATTATTTACTCCTGTATCTCTTAGATACCATAAAATCAAGATATATCTTGCATTAAACGAATGCACACTGAAACCCTGGTCCCAGCTAACAGGAAGCAAATCAACAACACCCAACTAAGCACAAGCAAAGCACTATACCAAGCCAACCACGAACCACCAACCAACAACTAGTACACCCTCGTATCCCCCAAACCCAAGCCAACGGCATGTGATCAAGCATCAAGATCAACCGAAAACAGCCAGGAACAAAACACGAAGTGGGCGTTAACTTCTCCACAGAACCTTGGTAGAGATGACATCTTGATCGTCTAGATGGCTAGTAGATAGACTACGTCATCATCCCATGGGGTGATGATCCACCACAACCACAACCACAACCACAACCACAACCATATCCCCCGACTTCTCCCCGAGACTCTGAACTACTTACCTACCTTCAAGAATTAATTATCTATTCATCAAATATCGTACATAAGTGAAATCACTTTGAATAATGTCTGGCACTAATCTCATGGATATCGAGCCTGGTGGTGAGAACACGCAGTATGTCTAGCTTTACTACAACTGTTTCTTAAGGTTGAATTTAATGCTAATGGTGGTTGTACTAGGTATGAATCTATCCGGTTGTTTACGGAGACACCGGCGAAGCAGACGGGGCAGTTGGGTGGTATGTTCTACTATCTTCATCTTATCCTATGGTTTTATGGCAGCCGACTAAGTTGCTCGCAGGACACTCCCAACATACCGTCAGCGAGATGAGAACAACACTTGACGACGACCGGAACGGAAACGAGGAGCAGTATAGGGATACGCCCCTGGCACGACAGCTGGAGAAGGGCGAGGGTACGACGGGTCTTACGGGAATCACAGATATAGGTAGGTACAGTATAGTTTGATATTTCTCTTTTTCCTAACTCCGCATATTCATATGAAAATACATCGACACCTGCGACAAAGCGGGAAAGAAAAATAAATAAAACATGACAGATATAGAGAGTCTAGAAGCTGATGATGATGATAATGTACACAAGACCTGAAGCCCGAAACCCCAGAAGAGGGTGCTGCGCTGGCGGCGAAAATCAGGAGAGAACAAGGGTATGGACCTGGTTCGGGCGTCGGGGCTTAGATGTCATGACGTTGTGATTGAACCGGGGTGGATTGACGTGATTGAGAGGTTTGGTTGAGAGAAAGCGCTTTGAATTATTGGGGGGCAGAGGGGCTGGAGGAGGACGAGGTCGAGGTCGGGGGGTTCGGTAGGTCCTGAGTACCGAGGGCTGGGCTTCTGCGTGCGCGTTTGAGGCTCTCCAGAGTCACTCCATTGCCAAGTTTCGTCAGTCCAACGACCGGCGGGTCGCCCTTCTTCACGAATTCCCAGAGGCCTGTCGCAGTTGTATTATTAGTTCACCGTATGTTGATAATTGGAAATATATGATTAAGTGAGAGTAACATACCGGGCAGCTTGTGACCGGCCAGACGGAAGGCCTCCCTGGCGACCTTTTCGTGCAGATCACCCTTGAGCTCAAAGACGATTCTGCTCACGCCAACCTTCGCAGTCCAGTAGTCGAACTTTCCCTTACCCTTACCCATACGCTGTTCATTGCCCTTGGTGTAGACACCGATGTTTGCGCTCACGCGCTTGTACAATGTGTAGTTCATACCCCTCAGACGTCTCTTAATCGTATCCTCTGCAATTTTCAACGACGAAGCGGGCAACCGGCGGTCGTGATCCTTCATCCGCAAACCATAATCACCCCAGACGACAGTGGTACCGCGGGAAGAACCACCAGTTGCGACATGCGGACGACCCTTCGGGGACTTGGATCTCTCAGCGAACTTAGGAGTAAGCCAATCGAGGGCAGGCGAGGTCGTCGAGAAGCATCGCGATAGCGGGAAAGCCGTGAATGGCGTCGACAGACCTACTGTACGGCATCGGAGTCAGGATATAAAAAACTTTTCTTGGGGAGGCTTGCGGGAATCTCACACGACGGCCGGAGGAAGGCCATCTGAGGCCCCGAGAACATCTTCAGCTGCGGACCCATTGTGAATCGTGGCAATCGGCCCTGCTTGGACTGAATGGGGGGACCGGAAGGATGATGGATGGACCGCAGACTGACTTTCAGGCCATCGGCTTCACTCCAGCGCCGATTCCACTTCCCGAAAGGGAAGAAAGTGCTGCGCACGTGCCACACGCGTGCCACCCTTAGGTAAGCCAATTAAGTCACGTCTCCCGCCGGCGAGCTCCAGGCAGCGCGTCGTGTTTCTTGGGAAGCTGCCTGTGCTGTGCTAGTTGGGTGTGCGTCAGCATCGTTTCTGGGTCGCTTAAATATCCTGCTCAACCATTGCGCTCCGGGGCATGCTCCATTAATCATCTGTCGCCATGCCTGCTGATATTCGGAGCTTTTTTGGCGGCAAGTCTAGTCAAGGCTCCAACCCATCTCCCGCAAAGCCCGCGCCGAAGAAAGAGGTATGTGAATCCCCCATTGCGCATAAGCAATTCATGCTGCATGCGAATCGCCGTTGCATTTACTGACGTTGGTACCAAATTAGGAGCCTTCCACGAGAAAAAAGAGTAAGAGAACCGGTTATCAGTTTTGTCCCGCAATATCTTATTGATGCGCGTACAGGGACTAGAAAGGTTGTAGACGACAGTGATGAGGAAGAGGTTGTCGCTACCAAGACCACAAGCCCGAAGGTGAAGGCTCCGAGCAAGCCGTATGTCTGCCCTAATGCGACTCTACCCGCTGTATTTGCTAACATTTACTCAGAAAGCCAGAAGTATCGAAGGGTGAACCCACAACTTCGTCAGACTATTTCGCATCTAGCAAGAAGAGAGGCAGGCCTGCCAAGGAGACCAAGACATCCCAGCCTGCTGTCACCGAAGAACCTGAAGCGAAGCCGTCCCCGAAACCGAAAAAGTCTACGAGCACCGAAAAACCTGCACCAAGACCTCAACGCGGTACACGAAAGGCTACCACAATCGTTGAGGATGATGAACTCGGTGACGATGACATCCATGCGACAGAGTACAAGAAACCAGGCAAGGGGGATGATGATTATGTCGAGGAGGAGGACAAGGACAGCGACAGTGATTTCGAGGAACTTGCGGTAAAGCCAGCCAGTGCCGCCTCCGGAAGACAGGGACGAAAGAAGCAGGCAGCCGCGGAATCGGATGAGGATGTGGTTATGGAGGACCTGCCCAAGCGACCTTCCAGAGCTGCCAAGTCAGCCGCCTCTCAACCAGCGCGCAAACGCAAATCTGAAGTTCTTGAGAAGGACGAGGATTATGACACCAAGAATAGTCCTAAAAAGGCCGCAGAGACGAAAGCCGCTCCCCGTACACCTAAGAAGCCAAGGGCATCTGCAAAAACAGATCGACCTGAAAGCAAGGAGATTCAGGATATATTTGACAGCATACCTACGATCAGACCACCCTCTCCGCCCCGCGAGACTGGTGAAAAGGCCAAGTTCAACTACGCTGCTCACGCACAGCGCTCGCGGTCACCAGTAGCTGGGGGCGCGGACATACCACAGGGAGCGGAAAATTGTCTTGCAGGGCTGTCTTTCGTTTTTACTGGTGTCTTGGACACGCTCGGCCGCGACGAAGGGCAAAACTTGGTGAAGAAGTATGGTGGTAAAGTCACTGGGGCACCGAGTTCCAAAACCAGCTATGTTGTCCTAGGAGCGGATGCCGGACCTAAAAAGCTGGCAACGATTAAGCAGCACAACCTAAAGACAATCAACGAGGAGGGGCTTTTTGAGCTTATCCGTCGACTTCCAGCCAATGGTGGAGATGGCAAAGCGGCAGAGCAACATGAGGCGAAAAAGAAAGCAGAGGAAGAAAAAATTCGCGCGATGGCCGCTGAGATCGACCGCGAGGAGAAGCGCAAGGCGGCGGCCGCGCGCAACACGGCTCCCTCAGGACCTCAACCGCCTTCAAGTTCGCAAAGTACGACGCAAAGCACGAAGACTGACGACCGCCTGTGGACCACCAAATATGCGCCGACATCGATGAATATGATTTGTGGTAACAAAGGTGTTGTCGAGAAACTACAGAACTGGCTTCGCGACTGGCACAAGAATGCCAAAGCTGGTTTCAACAAGCCAGGGAAGGATGGGTCAGGAATGTATCGCTCTGTCATGATTCACGGACCGCCTGGAATTGGCAAGACCACAGCAGCACATCTGGTGGCAAAGCTAGAAGGGTACGATGTCGTGGAGACGAATGCAAGTGACACAAGAAGCAAGAAGCTCGTGGAAAACGGCCTTCTCGGTGTTTTGGATACGACTTCGCTACAAGGCTACTTTTCGGGTGTTGGAAAAAAGGTGGAAAGTGCGAAGAAGAACCTGGTCCTCATCATGGATGAAGTTGACGGCATGTCCGCTGGTGATAGAGGTGGTGTGGGAGCACTTGCCTCTATTGCTAAGAAGACTCACATCCCCCTGATTTTGATCTGTAACGAGCGAAGGCTCCCGAAAATGAAGCCTTTCGATCATGTCACATATGAACTGCCGTTCAGGCGGCCGACGGCCGAGCAGATTAGAGCCCGACTGTCGACCATCTGCTTCCGCGAGGGCTTGAGGATCCCGCCTCAGGTCTTGGACAGTCTGATTGAAGGCACCAACGCGGACATCCGGCAAGTTATCAACATGCTTTCAACCGTGAAATTAGACCAGACAAACCTAGACTTCGAAAAGGGGAAGCAAATGTCTAAAGCATGGGAAAAGCACATCGTTCTGAAGCCCTGGGATATTGTCGGCAAGATTCTCAGTGCGCAAATGTTCTCGCCCAGCTCAAAGGCTACTTTGAATGATAAAATCGAACTCTACTTCAACGATCACGAGTTCAGTCCTCTGATGCTTCAAGAGAACTACCTGAAAACACGACCGGCGTTGACTGGCGCCTATCATGGCAGAGAACAGAAGCTGAAACAACTTGAACTAATGGACAACGCTGCTTCAAGTATCAGTGATGGTGATCTCGTTGACAAGATGATTCATGGTACTCAGCAGCAATGGAGTCTGATGCCTACCCATGCCGTGTTCAGTTTTGTCCGGCCAGCCAGCTTTACGTACGGTAACATGATGGAGCGGCCCGGGTTTACTAGTTGGCTGGGACAGAACAGTAAACAAGGTTTGTGCGATCTGTTGGCTATAATAGTCTCCAGTGCTAACACCGATTATAGGCAAGCTTTGGCGTTACATCAAAGAAATTCAGGGTCATATGCGTCTTCGCGCATCTGGTGATCGAGATGAGATTCGACAACAGTATATGCCGCTCCTCTGGGACAGGCTAGTCCGCCGATTAATGGTGGAAGGCAAGGATAGTGTCGACGATGTCATTGATTTCATGGACAGCTACTTCCTTACGCGCGAGGACTGGGATGCCTTGGTAGAACTTGGGCTGGGACCTATGGATGAATCCAATGTGAAGCTGCAGACACAGACGAAAGCAGCATTCACACGGATTTATAACCAGCGCTCCCATCCTCTCCCCTTCATCAAGGCCAGCAGTATTGCTGCTCCGAAGAAGATGCCGAAGGAGAAGCCCGACATCGAAGATGCCCTTGAGGAGTCGGATGAGGAAGAGGTGCTCGAAGATGACTCGAAGGACAACGACGAGAACGAAGAGCTCGATTTGAAGAAGGATAAGTATGTTCGCGTGCCCAAGAAGGCTGCGAAGGGCGGAGCAGCCAAAGGAAAGAAATCAAAGAAGGCAGCAGCGGGTGATGATGATTTCATCGACGACGAGGAAGAGAAACCTAAGAAGGCTCGAGGCCGGAAACCCAAGGCCAAATGATCTAGAAAACGGGAGAGCGACAGAGTCATCACCTCCAGTTTATGTCCATGTATTATCAGTTCTGTTAGTATAATGAGCGGGCTACTAGCGATGTCACCATCAGCAGTGGATGATTATTGTTTTTGTGTGATTGCCATAGCACTATCTTGGAATGAATTACTCCAATTGTATAATAGACCATATTATAGAATTCCAAGGTTGTACTGTGATCTCTTCATTGCTTCGTATACTGGGTAGTACCCCGCATCTATCCATCGCCGGAACCAAAGAGTTGCACACTGTAAAGAATACGGGAATTCAATACTAAGGTATGTCCCTCGGTAGCTAATTTGCCTTGCATAGACTAGTAACCGTGCAAGCATAAGGGGACCAACCCCTTGGGTCCGACAAAGGAGACGTTGGTTTGTGTCAGAGGAACAACAATAAGGGCAGGCGGGAAAATGGCATGGGCGGCGGCGGTGCGGAGATCGGCCACGGGATCTCCAGGCCATCCATCTTCTGCCCGCGACGGCTGAGCCTGCAAGTGCTTTTGATCCCCACACAACCTCATCGCCGCAGGACGCTCTTCCTCGTCCCTTTGCGTTGCTTATCCCTCATTTCTTACTATCAGGCTGGTCCTGCATTCACATCCCACGGTCGCTCTCTTTCCCTACTACTTCTTTTTCGGCCTGCTCCAGTTCAGCGCATCCATCCATTTCCCCTTGTTGCACCAGCCCGGAGATCATGCCCACTCGAATCCTGACAGCGGTTTCGCTCTTCCTGGCGTAAATGGTCGTTCTTCGTGATTGTGACGAGGCTTACTCTATCTCTTACTACTCATCTCTTTTCTTGCAGCGATTGTAACCATGTCTCTTCTCCACAATGAAGAGTAGGTGTCTGACCCCGCGACCCATCTCGCGTCTCCCCTCCCCTCATCTCCCCCCCGGTAATCGCACACATACAGTGTTGAGTCAACAACTAACCCCAATCTCAGTTTCACAATCTGGCAGTTGCGCACTTCCTATCTGTCGACCATAAAGGACGGCATAGGCGATAGGCTCATCAACGTGAACAACACCGTGCTCAACACGCCAGGATTCCGCGCAGCTGGCTGGTCTTCGGCTTCTACAAACCCTAATACGCAGAGCGCGGCTGCCCACATTAAGCGGACAAATTCACCCCCAATCCCTACTACTACGGCGGTTACCTCGGAATATTACCAGCTTGGTGTTGCCCGAGACGATGCGCAGAGATTCGGCCTGG